CCAACACCCTTGCAGGCAGCATCTGGCCCGTCTGTCAATACGGTGCAGCAGACTGCCAAGAAATGCAACTATTGTAAAAAGCGCGGCCATGTGGTCGCGCAGTGCTGGAAGAAACAGCGAGAAGGACAGTCGTCTAGGGACCATGCCCTGAAGGCTGAGAGGAGTGTTTCCGGCTCACCAAGAACTAACTTACAAAAGATACCATCAAGCCAGGTGGAAGATTGGCAGGGCCCGCCGACTTCCAAGAGACCGAGGATCAATATCGTGAGGGCGAGGGTGACGACCCTTTATACCCACGCACCGCAACCCCGGTGGATCCTGGACTCGGCCGCCACCAGCCACATCTGCTGGGACCGGAGCTGCTTCAGCAGTCTGCGGCCCCACCGCGAGATGTTGGACACGGCGGGCGATCCAGTGGAAGCCGAAGGGATTGGTACGGTGAAGCTCACGCTCCGGGGGAAGTTCAACCAGCCCCTGGTGCTGAAGAACGTGTACTTTGCGCCACGCGTCGGGATGAACCTGATCAGCGTGCCGAAGCTGTTGCGAGACCGCTACTCGGTGGTGGCGCACCCACAGAACGTCTTTGTGCAACGCCGAGGACGAACCGTGGGGACCGCCTACCACGCGGAGGAGGATCTACTGATCCTGCGGTGCCATGTGAGCAAGAGATCTCGAGAGCGAGTCCAACTGGCGAGGGCGCCGACGACCCATGACCATGCAGATTCCCTGGAACCGCAGGCGGTGGCCATGGACGTTGACGATCCTCGGGAGTCAAGTGGCGTAGAATGTACAGCGCCAACCTCTGAACTCGGTGGTGAAGCTGTGATACTCGAAGAAGATGTGTGCACAGGAGTGGACCAGGCCTCCGAAGCGTTGTGGCACGCTCGGATGGGACATCTGAACCGGGGCGACTTGAGGGTGGTCCTTCGGCAGACCGGCACTCCGTACCGACCGCTGACGCAGGCGCAGCTGCTGGCAACGCCGCAGTGTCCGGCGTGCATGTCGGGTAAGCAGCATCAGAAGAGGAACTCCCGCGCAAGACGGCCACGTCTGCATTCAACGAGAATTTTCGAATTGATCCATTCGGACATCATGGAGATGCCGATGGCCAAAGATGGCTCCAGGTACGTGATCACCTTTACTGATGATTATTCTCGTGGCTCGTGGGCCTATGCCATGAGATGGAAGCATGAAGCGCTCCCGAAGTTCCAACATTTTGAGGCCTGGGTGCACCGACAGTTCGGCGCCCAGATCAGAAGATTCCTCACCGATAATGGGAGAGAGTATCTGCCAATTGGAACACATCTCGAATCCCAGGGAGTTGAGTTCGACACCTCGCCGCCATACTGCAAAGGGCAGAATGGGCTGGCCGAACGCACTAATCGTACTATCCGGGAGCGGATCAACACGCTCCTGTCCGATGCGAACCTTTCTCCTTCCTGGTGGATCGAGCTTGTAGACACAGTGGTCTACTTGAAGCTGCGTGCACCAGCATCGATCTTACGGAAGAAGACACCGTTTGAAATTCTATACGGGGAACCGCCCTCGCTCTTGCATCTGCGACGGATCGGCTCCCGTGCATGGGTCTTGATCCCCAAAGAGCATCGAGCCAAACTCGGACCAAGATCATCCGAGTGCCGACTGCTAGGCTATTGTGAACCGAATCAGTACAAGCTCTATGAAATACATTCAGGAAAGACAGTCTTTTCCCGTGATGTCGAGTTCGATGAGAGGACCCCAGTGGCGCCACTCATCGAGGGGGAAACAGGCAACGACCTCCCGGACAATGCTCCTCCATCACCTGTCTTTTCATCAATGCCAAGTTCAGCCAGCGGGCTGCCAACACCACCTGCATCGCCATTACCTCCGCCGAAGGAGCGAGAGAAAACGCCATCTGAGCGTGAGGAGGAGACACCTCCAGTGGTCAATCCAAGCCAACAAGGCACTGACCTGACATCGGATCTTGGATATTCGATTTTTGGTCGCAGAAGAAGACCATCACGGCGTCTCCTGGAATCACTCGGCAAGGTGTACTCTGCCGGCGCATTGAATCCCGCACCGGCCAGACAAGTCGACCCGGCGACCTTTCGCGAAGCTGTATCAGGCCCAGACCAGCTGGACTGGTGGGCCGCCATCCAGAAAGAATATGCGTCGCTTCTCGAACACGGAACATGGGAAAAGGTTCGGCGGGAGGACGTCCCAGCCGGAAATCATGTGATTGGCTGCAAATGGGTCTTCAAGACCAAGGCCAACGGAATGCGCAAAGCGCGATTGGTTATCAAAGGCTACCGGCAGAAACATGGCATCGACTATCACGAAACGTTTGCTGCTGTGTCCAGGATGGACTCGGTCCGCTGCATCGTCGCCAGCGCCGTGTTGCGCGGATGGAAACTCCACCAATTCGACGCGGTCACCGCATTTCTCCATGGAGACGTCGATTCGTCTATCTATATGGAGTTACCTGAAGGTTTCGAAAAGCCAGGATACGTATGCCGACTGCGCCGCTCACTATACGGACTGAAGCAGGCTCCGCGGATTTGGTACCAATGCGTCCACCGCGTTCTGGCTTCTCATGGCTTCACTATGGCCCAATCGGACAATTGTGTGTTCTACAAACCGGATTGCGTCGTTTGTGTCTATGTCGATGACTTTCTTGTTGCTGCGACAAACACGCACGAAATCGAACAAGTGCAACGAGCCTTGCAAACAGAGTTCCGACTGAACGATCTGGGCACCCCTCGATCATTCCTCGGGATCCAGTTCGACTATGATGTCGATGGGTCCGTATCTATTCACCAACACCAGTACATCCAGAAGGTGCTCTCCGACTTTGGCATGGAGACTTGTCAGCCGAAGTCTACGCCGATGAATCCCAAGCAAATCTTGAATCATCGTCCAGAGGAGGAACCTCCGGACGAGGAAGCAAAAGCTCGTTATGCGACTGCCATCGGTTCGTTAATGTATCTAATGGTTGGCACGCGACCAGATATTGCATTTGCGCTGGGCATGTTGAGTCGCTTCACGTCTCAGCCGCAATCGCAACACCAAGTCGCTCTGCAGCGATTGCTTCGCTACATCAAAGCCACGCAATCTCATCGCATTACTTACCGCAGTGGGCAGTTGATCGGGTACACGGACGCCGACTTTGGGGGCTCCGTCGTCACTGACGGTGCATACTCAACGTCTGGCTATGTTTTCCAACTTGCAGGTGCGCCAGTTTCCTGGTCATCCAAGAGACAGGGGGAAGTGGCCACGTCTACAACTCATGCCGAATACATCGGACAGTACAATGCCATTCTGCATCTCCAGTGGCTCCGCACCTTTCTGGCTGAAACGCAACTGTATCGGTCTCCGGTCACTAACATTATGGCTGACAACCAGTCCGCCATCGCTCTCTCTCGCAACCCTGAATTCCACAAACGCACGAAGCATTTCAATGTAAAATTTCACTATCAGCGAGCCGTGCTGGATACAGGCGAGATTGGGCTTCAATATATTCCAACTGGGGAACAGGCCGCGGACGGTCTCACCAAGCCATTGGGACCTACGGCCTTTGCCAGATTTTGTAGTCTCTTAGGAGTCGATGCTCCAGAGGTTTCGAGACAAAACGCGTGACAGCGCAGGCGCTCTTTCCACTTATTTTCCCGCGAAGGTTTTTCAGTGGTTTTACCGAGGCCTGACTGCTCTGCGCCATTCCAGAATCGCCCTGCCAGCAAAGCGATCCTGAGGGGGAATGTTGTGATATAAGGCTGGTGCAGATCAGGAACCAAGCCGAACCACCGGAATTAATCCCGAAGTATGTATACGAAGAACCAAGTTGATTTCCAATCAACTTGATCTTCTCGTTGTATATATAGCCTTATTCTTCCCTCTCAAATAAAAAACAAGACAATTCACACCTCTGAACTACAACACAAAGCAACTGCACGTTTAGTTTCGAATGCATGCCTTAACTGTGACATAAGAAATATATGCGAAACATCGTCGAACTTTTAGCGATATTTCGACGAAAATTCGATGAATTGAGCAGTTTGATCTCCGCCAACTTTATTTTGGATTGATATTTAAATTTAGATAGATGAACTAATTTTACAGGGACTTGGGAATATTAGTCCAAAAATTCGAACTTGATTGTTTTAATTATGTCCATCTTGAAAATGGCGAGACACCCTGGTCTTTAAGCTTAAACATTATTCATGTCATTGTTTGATCAGTCAGGTCTCGACAAGAGACCAGCGCCCAACTCCTCGGGCAAAGGAATGTCACGTGATAATATAAAGGCGGATTTCTTCCTGCCCCTCACCTGCCCACTCACCCATTTGCCAGCGCATCACAACGACTGCTGCTTGACTCGAAAGGAGGTACAGCCCCAAATGACTGTGGTCATCGATACTTGACATAAAATTCTAGTTATCTGAAAGGAAATAACTTGAATGCAGAGTCATTGTTGACTATCCTTGATCTCATCGACCAAACGGCGACGTAAGTCAAGCGCGTTCTCTTCTTATCTGGCGTACGTTTAATAGATTCTAACAAACAAAAGCATTACATCTCCCTGGCAAGTTTGTGTGCAACAAGAAAAGCGCTCAAGGAGACCAGTGCCATGGATAAGGCAGCCAAAAAAGTTCGGACCGAAAGCTCATCAGACAGCGGGATTCTCGAGGAATGCAAGAAAGAAGTGAGAATAACATGTTAGATGTTCATCTCTGAGAAGAATACTAACTAACCCAGGTAAAATGTGACTTATGCGATCGAATAAACTGGTCGACACCATCAAAAGGTGTTCAGACTACCCCTCCGCCGAGAACGGTTGCAATTGTCGTGAATGTTGTTCAAAACAGAGGCGCAATACGGATTTTCGAGAAAGAAAGCGGTGAATACGTCGACGGAGTTGGAACTGAGGAAGAAGGCTTTCGGATCATCATACCATGGAGAGATACTTGGCGCTTCAGAGCATCGGGCGTCGTTGAAGTTGGATATATAATAGCAAAGGATGCAGATTAGTTTGGCGGTTGGTTCCATGCTGCCAATGGACGGTGTAAGATTAATTGATCCGTCAGCTCGTTACTGACTGGAATTGTAACAAAAGATGTCGTGTTCACTCCATACGTGTCTGTGAGCCATACCGGGCCTGATATCTGACCCGATTGTATGATATCTCGAATGTCTTGCACGTTGAGCTCGTAGACATCTCCGGTCAAAGGGTCTTTAGGTCGATTAGCCAGTCATCATCCACTCTGTGCCAAGGCCATACCTATGTCTTGCTGCTTCCCGGGCTGAAATGTCGACAAATCCGGCGACATGACCACTGCAGGTGGCCCTTCACCATGTTAGCTAGCAGCATGACTCACAAGATTAGATGTCATACTGAATATCGGTTGAAGGGTTTGGTAGCTTCCCTGCCCCCGCTCCTGAGGCTCGAGAGCGTCTTCAGTCTCGGAGACTTGGCTCACTGTTCCATCATCGGCTTGCAAGGGAGCCTGGGGAGCCTGTGGAGCTTCTGGGTAGAGGACAAAATTGAAATACTGGCGTGCGAGCCGTCGGAGTACAGTGTTGTCAAGGCCAGAGTGATTTTGGATCTCATATGGAAGATTAATTTGTATACTTTCCTTTGCAATAGCAATTGCCGACAGTCCCAAGCCAATAGCACAAAGAACGACCATCGACGGGCCATTCAGCTGTAGAACTTTGCGTAGGAAGGTGAGATAGGTTGACTGTCGACCGGCTCCGACGGCGTCTTGGGGTGGGTACCCATTCCTCAGTAATGTGGCGGCTGCCTTGATTTTTTTCCTTTCTGTTTTTTTCACGTCGTTCCGACGTTCAACATCTCTTGAAGCCTGGACAAGCTGCGCTAAGGCACTACTAAGAGTCAGAGTCATGCTTCAGGATATGCAAGTGAAGCTTTCGTCGAAAGGGAGCTAAGAGCGCGTCGATAAAAAGCGCTAAATACCATAAATCAATGTCATAACCTCGAGCTTTCGATGTCAAAAATTAGTCGAAAAGGAGTCGAAAAAAAGTCGAAAGACAGTCGAACGACAGCCTTATTATAGCCTTCCAGACAACGTGCGTTGCGGGGCTGTGCTCTTGCGGATCGATGGAACCCTAGCGAGTGCATGCAGCTCCCACCACTCTCAGGGCACCGTGTCGCGTGCAAAGCCGTACTCGCCATTGGTTGATGCTCTTTGCCGTGTCAGCCTAGACATGCTGAGGTCCGAAAAGTGGGGCAATAGTCCAATCTCTGGCTTGAGCGGAAAGACTGTGCAGATTTATGCGACCTTAGTCCACCAATCCCACACGTGCTAGACCCTCAAACTCGCCTTTCGGCCAAGAATCGATGGCGCAAGGTGCCCCAATTGGATCTGCTCTTTCACTGACGTAGCCGCTGGTCTAGATTGTGGGCGGCCAGGCGCTAAGAAGGGACTGGCCCTGAGCCGCTCATTCACAAATGCATGGTGGTCACCTCAAAGCACTAGACTACACTCAGCCAATCATGGTATCTGTTGATAGGTGCCGCAGAGACAGGTGCTACAAAGGACCGAGCCATTGTACAACACTCGAGCCCTTTTGGACGCGGTATTCACGTCTCGTAGACAGGGCTCTCCGCTCGACTTATGCAAGTTGGTTCTGGGATGTTCGTGATCTAAGATATAAATATCGCAGGTAATATAGCAGTTTTCTAGTCCTCAATCACTTCATAATTCTAAGCCCTGAGCCAGAGATACGAAAATTCTGACTGTGCGATACATATCAACCTCAACCTCTTCACTTTTCCACATACTGGGTCTAGACGACTTCTGATATTGTCCACCTACATTTTTAAGCCTCCCCAAGGTAAGGCAGTCGTCACTAGTGGATTACATCCTGAAACTAAATCAATCTGTAGATGGCTGTTCGAGAGCCAATTGAAATCACCAACTGTTGCCACTGGTCTTCCGTGTCTGCTGATACACCTAAGAAAACCTGGGACTGTATGGATCCAAACTGTGAAGACTCAGCTGCATACAAGCCCAAATAAAAGAGCCAAAGTCAAGATGGCTTTTTATCAGCGGGCAGGATAGGGGGAAGGGGGGGGGGAAGGAGTACAGGGGTATGGATTCAAGAAAGGGTGTGAGAAGTGTATCAAAATTAGTTTATTTTGACTAGTGGAGCAACGTCCAAATTTAATCAGTAAATTTTTAGGCAGCACTGATAATCTTTCCTTGGTTGAAGTGGGCCTGAATGACGACTAGCATGAGATTTATCCCCGCCTACCCCGCTACGATAACCATAGTGGATAGGGTCTAGCTCTTAGGGGCCACGAAACCGTTTGAGTTGCTTGATTTTAGAGTTTGGTTGTTTGCAGGGAGGGTCAGCTCAAAAATTATGTTATGAGATGGTCAGCTTCAGAAGTCATACTATTTTGCGACAATTACAACCAACAGCTGACTGCAGACCTAAGGGCTCCAAGAGAGCTCAAGGGGCCACTGGGACCCAATCATTTCATCGCGTAAAGTCACGTGTAGCTAAAACTTTTAAGCCAACATCCGCCTTTTCCTTTCCAATTTAACACTGTTATTGTCAGCACAGCTTACCAGATCTTATTTTTCCCATAAGTATGGAAATCATACAAAAGAATGAAGCCTTCAGAAGGATTGATGGCAAAGTGGAATTTTCCTATGTCCAGATTTTTGTTCGAGAAAATGGCATACTGTATTCCGGGAAATGGACGAATCGATTACATTTGCCAAAGACGCTGGACGATCTCCAAGAAGTCAAGCAAATTTCAACTGAGGACAGGGGCCCACAAGTCCATACCACTTGGTCAGCGATCTATGTGAAAACACCAAGTCTCCTCGCGTATGTCGATGGAAATCTTGAACAGCAAATCGCTCGCGAAGTCGAAACCTGCGAAATTCTTCGCAAGAATCCCCACCCGAACATCGCAACCTATTATGGCTACAAGGAGACTCACGGCCGAGTCTCTGGGCTATGCTTCAGAAAATATACGTTGACGCTACTTGAGGCGGTCAATCCCCAACGCCTGGGCAAGGTTGCTTTCCTGTCAAGTGCGCGCGGCCTGGTGAACGCGAATATGAAAAGTAGCCTAGAAGGGCTTTTGGCCGCCATCAAACACCTTCACTCGCTTGGCCTTGTCCATAATGATATCAACCCCGCAAACATTATGCTTGATGAAGATGGTACGTTTGTTCTCATCGATTTCGATAGCTGTCGATACATCGGTGAATCGTTGCGCCACACCCAAACGAAAAGAACCCACCACTGGCACGATCCTGCTGTCGATATTTCGCTTGAAAAAAACGACCTTGACGCTTTCGGAGACCTTCAAACTTGGTTGATTGGATCGGCGGATGAGACCTTTTTGTTCATTTAAAAGCATTGCTTGTCAGTCAAATGCTAACGCCAAGTGATTTGTTTATTTATCAACCCAAGACTTCTATTGACCTAGGCTAAGACACTTCTAAAAGTCTACTTCGATGTATCTTGCCTACGATCGAAACTGCGGCCATTAACACGCTCCCTCGAGTTTGTAATCCATTAAGACAGTAGCTATATCCGACGAGTATATCACTTGAATTCATTACAAATAATAATAATAATAAAGATAAAGAACTGTTTCACATATATGAAAGCCATTTCTATTCTCTTCACTTGGGCCGGGATACTGCCTGCAAGACTTAAGGGCATATTTATCTAATGAGCAATAAGGAGGGTCCACGACGCTAGAAGTGGATTTGCTGCTGGGGTCTGCTTAACATGTCGAGAGTGGCGTTCCTTCAGTATTGCTAGATCAGGGCTTCCAGCGTTGCTGTCTTACGAGTGCCGACCAGAAGTGAAAGCGAGCCTCCGGTTCAAAGTTTCATGGGTGCTGAGACTCTCTAGGATCAGATAATCACATATCATATCATCGAACACTCCCCATTCTCCTTTGGAATGTCCTCGAATCCGAAGATCTCAGTCAATGCATGATGTATTATTCTCCAATACGGGCTGGAACGGAATGTTCATCTCTTGTGGCAGGCTGTCTTCCAAGCAACTCTACTGGCGGTCGGGCAGGAAGAGGGTGCAAGTCGGATTTGTGAGAATGAAATGTCGGATTATCTGAGGCTGTGATGTTGGACTCGGAGGAGCTTAGATAAATATCGAGAGTTCCGGTGGGGTTGCCTTTTGTCCTGAGAAGGGTTTCGTGGTCAAAAATATCTCGGGCGGTGCTGTAACTAGCGATTGAAGTCACTTAGAAAATAGGTAGCTTGTGGGAAATTGGGGCTCGGGAGGGGAACAGAGGGGGAGAGTTAGCCTGAGAGGATTGAATCCCAATGTTGTTTGCCATCTGGATAAATCTGTGGTCTTTTTTAAAAGACTGCGGGGCGGAATGACCCTGACCAGCTTCTGTATTCCATACCACTGTAACCAAGCACGCCAGATTCATAACCGCAGACTAGAGTTTGCCGTCATTAGCTCCGCCTCACATGCTGAGAGAAATCCCTCGCAAACAACGATCCACCGCTGCTGAAATAGCCAGCCACATCTCTATTGGCTAGACTGTGCTCTCGCGGTCGTTAGTTGCAGCAATTGCCTCACAATGTAGCATGGGCCGACGCCAGTTGAGTATTTGGTATATTTGCTATTGGCCAGCATCATTGCAGCGTGCCTTCGAGGGTCAGCGTGCCTTCGAGGGTCACGGATTGGATGCGGCCGAGCCGGAGGACGACGTTGACGACAAGAAAGGGGTGGATCCGCGACGCCAGGGGCTGTGCAATGAGGCGAAAGCACAATCAGTGATTTCTTTCAGTCAAAAATCAAATACCGGCTTTCGAAATTGGAACAAGTTCACATCGAAGAGGAAAAATATCAACGAGGTCACAGACATACTCTCAGATCATAGATCAATGATCTTGGTTGGTCTGTATGCTTGTCATATGTCAGTCTTGATACCTTGTCTGCTTCGGATTTTACTGACATCTTTTTATAAGACTGACGAAAAACACCTGCCACGAAGATCTTCAAAAATACAATGAGAGGATTCTAGACACCGAACATAGTCTTGAAGTTCGTTTACAACGATGTACTCTCGACAACACTGGTGCCTTCGACATGGAAGAGGAGAGAGAAGCGATCGAACAATGCCTGCGTTTTTGTAAAGCTGTTGGATATTGTATCATACATTTGACAAATCGAGAATCATTTCTACTGCGGGACGCTGTCCAAGACCTGGAAGACGAGAGAAATATGGCCAAACAATGCCTTCATATTTGTGAAGCTGCACGCGAATGCTTGAACAGCCAACATTCACCTCCACTGCGGCAAGTTCCGGCGGGAAGCCATGGTAGTGCAGAGACCAATAGCGTCCTTCAACAACTCTTAAAGCTCCATAAAAAAAATCTTTTTCTGGATTTGAACCAGTTGGAAATAATTCCAAGATACCTTTTCAAAGACATAACTTGCATTTTCTAAATATATTTTACCAAAATTCGTGCGTATCTTTATTTATGATCCGCGAAAAACCTTACCACAGCTTGTATAACAGTTATAAAAAATTGTTACAAGCGCTGCATGGCTGGAACAGTAGTTACAATAATATTAGCAGTAATATTTACTAACTTATTTGATAGTGTTCTTCTATGAATTGGAATTGTTTACTACTAAAATCAAATAATAATAACAATTTATAATAAAGGCTATTGCATTTTGTGGTAGTTGGAGTTATATGTTATATATGTAAATCTTGGCCAATCCTTCTCGCTGAGGGGAGGGCAGCAGTCCAGTTCAAATACCGTTCGATCTTGCCCCACTAAGCACGTCTGATTGGCCTAGATCGTTTATGGGTGCTGTATTTGCTTTATTTAGTGGTTGATACTTCTGAATACCTAAAATATTAGGTTTATCTTACGATCAATTTGCTGCTAAAGTACACTTCTGAATATTATTTGTAGGTGTTAATTTAACATTCTTCCCACAACACTTCTTATAGGATGCCGACGTAAGATGACGTGTAGGTAGGTCATTTGCGGTTTCAAAGATCTATTTATCCGAGCTTTACATCCAACCATTCAGCGCTTTGTGAAGGATAAGACACTAGTGTCCATTGTCAACTGAAAAACACATACCCTATCAGTAAATTTTTAAAATATCAGTCATTTTCTTGCACCACCACAATACGCAAGAAATACGCTTATTTTTGCTGATTACCTCAGAAAGAAGCGAAGACAACAACAATCCCACACCTTAGAAAAGTGAAGCAGCCTACTTTTTTGCGGGCCCCACTAAGACTTGCAGATTTCGAAAATTATGCAACATTCTTTTGGGGGCTACCGGAGATTCCTCAGAGCCAGCAGCGCATGACCACTAAAGAGGGTGAACCAGTTTTCAAATGTCCACACTATAAGTGTGCGAAATCTCAAGTGACATCGTTTGTCTATTCAACAGATTTCGCCAATGTTAAAATCTCATTCTTGTTTCAATCGGGTCGGTGACACCGCCATGTAACCGATTGGGCATGAGCGCAAGAATGTGACGAGTATTGGGATCATATCCCCTCGCAATTGCAAGCTTCTACATCTCACATCAGGCAGCAACATGCCTTTAGTCATTCGAAAATAATGCGCAACCTGAACAGGGTGGAGTCATTTTTCCATGGCTAAGAATAATTACTAGTGCACCGGCAACACCTGTGGCACTCTTCAGCGCGTGGACAAGAGTACTGTTTGTAGCGACTATCGCCTAGGTGGCGGGATATTATTCGTTAGATAGATATGAAATTAGGCTTGTCAGCATCTTGGTCTGTCGTTCCAGACGGGACAATGGGGAAATGTGACGCTTGGATGCAAATGCAAGGAAGATCGAAGCGCTTAAATGCGGGGATGTTCTACGAAAGCGACCGTAGTTGTTTCGGATCGATGATCATGGAGGAGAACTCGATGCTCTACTGGCCACTGTCATACTGTTGCCTTAAATTTTACAAACTCTAGTGTCAATTTTATCGAATTGCACCAAATGACAATTTCCATATTGTTGCCTTGCTGGTAATATTGCATTTCAGGAATGCCCCGTCCTACGTAGATGCATTATCTTAGTCTCGATCGGCTATGCTAGCCTCTGTTGAACATTCAGACGTCGGTGCTGGAGGACTAACAAAATACCACGAAGTCTGCTGCTGCATTGACTTGAACATCTAGTTAAAATTGCTCACTCAAGTAATACTTGCTCATTCTCATCAAATGTGTTTTCAGCCTGAAATACCACCCCTGCCATAGCTGAAATGATACTGTACCACAAGAAAGAATAGGAGTTATATAGGGGTGTAGAGGATGAACGTTCAATTCAAAAGTCTTATTCTGATGAAGTGTGCAGCAGTTACAGGGGATTTGAATTACTTTACATCGGTAAAGTCTCAAAAAGTAGTCAGAGTTTTGGATGCAATTGAATGAGACAGAATATGGAGTCTCCCTTTAAGAAATTCTAAGTTTGCCCATCGTTATTGATGCAATCCGTTCACGATTCGAGGCGTGCTTACTTCCTGGTGGCTGATCTAAAAGCTAGTGTGTTTTTGTCAAGCCAGGTTCGAAAATCAATGTGTTATCACATTGCGTCTCCAAAAGGTAGAGACGTCGTGTGAAATCTCATAGGCTCGATTTCGAAAAGGTTGAGCATTTTAAGTTCAAATTTGTGACGTATCAGAACCATTTCTCATGAAGGTACGTGTCCATTCGAAGTAGACCGTACTTACAAGCCGCTTGCTGGTCTGTTATTTTCCAGGCTTCACCTCAAATTCATGCATAATGACCATACTCGGATTAAAGACCGGAACGAAAACTCGCTTCCGTCAAACCGTCCTATTTGTCTCAAAAATATCATGCATTTGTTGTTTTCGATAAGCTTCATCTCCATGCAGCCCAGTCCTTTTGCTGCGGCACATGTCCAACTCAGCTTGTGATGACCTCAAAATCCTTACTCAGTACAGGTCTTCCAATTGCATACATGGAACTGCTAATCAACCGGAGCGGGACTCGGTACGATTTGCCTTCAATGAAATCAACTCAATTTCTACTGCACCCATTGCATTCAGTTCATTTTGACTTTTGCCTCCAGTCCTGAGATTTGGTTTCTGCCCTTCTGTGGATTCATTTATGTCCACTCGCCTTGCTTTGGTATTAACATGTTCCTATGATGTTGGTTGAAATTTCTCAATGTGAAGAACGTCAGTGAAACTTCGAGCTGTTCCATGACCAAAGTGAAGCTAAATCTCGCAATTACATTGAGAAATCCACCTTCCAGCTGCTCTGCGGTCTCTCGGTGCGGCGTACCTTGTTAAGCCATCTATTGAGGACACAGTATAAGGAGAGATTGAAAGGTGCTCCAGACGCTTAGGTGTAAAGTCCAATGGAGCTCTAAGCTGTAGGAAAGCCAGCATCAGAAAATGAACGCATTATGTCACAGACAGTCACAATCGTACACAATGATACTACTGGCACCAATAGCACTCAATGTAAACACTTGCTTCCGGGATCAGTGTATGATTGAAGACTACGATTCTATTTGCTTGAGTATAACTTTCAGAGCCTCCAACTTCTGCGTACAGTCTGCCACGCGGCCAAGATCAGCTTAGCCGTGCCTACTTGGGACGTGAATCCTAGACTGTCCTGCTGAAAGTGTGGTAGCCCTGGTATTGGCTGTAGAATAGCATGATAGAGATTTCGCAACAATAGCCTTTATCTGCGTTGAACTAGCTGCGTAATTCTCATCCAAGTGGCGGTGGGCCTTCTCCGCTGAGTGCTTCGGGGGTGAGCCAGAAATTCCAGTCAACGGCATCTTCTTTCTCGAAATCCGGAAAGTCGGCTTGGCAAGTTTCGTCGTTTGATGGAGGCTTTGGTGTAGCTTCGGCGGTCTGTACAAGACAAAGAGGGTTGGGAGAAGCAGCTGCATGATTTTTCATCAGTAGGGCTGGCATTTTGCTTCCACTGATAGACTCACCTAGCAGTTGGCTTCGTTCCATTTCTGGCACAACCAGCAAATCTTGATCAGGCAGATAGAATTTTGCGGGTCAGAAGGAGAAGAATGTGACTGGGAATCTGCCTCATGCGCTTATGAAGGATATATGGTGGAGTTGGAAGATTGGAAGACAAAGCTTTTACTAGGTGCCTGAACAACAGAACAGGGTAAAGGCTTCGCGGTCAACTTGTCTTGAACCCCGACAATTTGTAGTTTAGTCGGGCGCGCTTGATTGCTTCACAACATGAACACAATAATAATAAGGAGTACTGTCACCGGTATGTGAGGAAGAAGTGAACGTGAGAGGAAGACGCAAGGAAAAGAGAGGAGGTGAAGAGCTGAAAAAGAGGTAAAAAATTGGCAAGGAGCTTCAACGTCGAATTTGGGCCTTAGAGCTATGGAAACTCAACTATGTGGTCATCAAGTAAAGGATTCATCTGATCTTATCGAAATGCAAAGTAGAATGGGTAATACCTTGGAAAGGATTGCGTAGGTATGAGACCAATGGTTGTATCATCACAATGCGCACCATCTTTAAAGCGCCTTACTAAGCACTAAACATCTAGAATTGTAGCTCAGTGAGACACACCTCGCTGCAAACAACGCTTCTGCCTCTTCAGTCGATTGTGCCTGCGCAGCAGATGAACAACTCTCGAATGCCCTCCATGCTCAGCCCACCAAAGTGGCGACCTTCCTCGGTCATCAATTAGGCTGATGTCCGTATCAGGATGTTTCAGCAGCGATTTGGTCACTCCCAAATACCCGTTGGATGCGGCAAAGAAAATGGCTGTCCATTGTTGAGGACCACGGGTATTGATCTCGACCATGTCTCCTTGTCGGAGAAGCAAAGATACAATGGATAGATGATTCAGAATGATAGCTACTTGAAGCGGGGTAGTTCCAGTAGGGCTTTTCTGGTTGACTTTGACTGACCTCAAACGAAGGAGTGCCTTCGCCGCGTGGAAGTTGCCTACGCGGCATGCAGACCAAAGCGGAGGCACGATCTGTCTAGTCTGCGAGTTGATGCATATCTTCGGCTGTTTCAATAACAGTTCAAGAATTCGCAAAACGGGGTTCTCAGCAGCTCGGGCCAATGGCGTCATCCCGTATCTATCAGCATCATTCAATCTCACATGCCTTTGGCTAACAAGTAATTTCACGAGATCATGGTGATCACGATCCACAGCGTGCCACAAGGCCGTTCGCCCCTCGGAGTCCGATATATTCAGATCAAGGTCCGAATGTAGGAGAGGAGACTCTACGATGCGGACTGATTGCTGTTGGTTAAGCATTTTCGCAGCCAAGAGAAGAGACGCATCATCGTAGGAACTCTGGTGATTGATCTTGATTCCTGCCTGTCGTACCAGCATCTGCGTGGCAATATGATCCCCTTCCAGAGTCGCAGCTTGCAGGGGCGTCCGATCGAAATGATCTGCAAAGTTGACATTCGCTCGAGAGTCAGCAAGCAAGAGATGTAAGATATAGTGCTCGCGATGCTTCAGCGCGTATACAATGGCAGACAATCTGTCCAAGCATCGATCGTTGACATCAATCTCCTGAGACGGAAGAATCCGCTCAACGATAGCAGTATTTCCGCCGATAACTGCAAGTGACAATGGGCCTCGGCCTCCAGAATCGCAAGAACAGCGAACAATGGGCTTATATCGCAGGGCCAGATCCACGGCCTGTGGGTATCGTAGCTCAATAGCTAGGAGGAGCGCGTTCTGCCCTGCGTACTCAGCGTCGATATTCACGTGGTATTCCTCGATTAATCGCGCTGCAATGTCTAATCTTTGGGCTGTCACGGCACGAAAGAGTGGCGGAATTTCATCAGAGACAAGGCACACAAAAAGCGCCTCGGTGAAAATAGAATTGGTTCGACGACAGACCAGGCATAGGTTCAGAATGTGGTCTTTTTGAAGAAACTTGCAAATCCAGAGCAAGAGCTCTTTTGGAAGTTCGCGAAGCATGACAGTGTACTTTTGCCGTGTTAGATTGATCTAGGAGATCAGTTTCAGCAGATGGCGAAGTTGACTATCCGAGGTCTCACGACGCCGCGTGTGCTCTCCCTTTTATGCACTCAAACTCTGGACCACTGTACCGTTTGAGGTTCGAGGATAAGGTTTTGCAACTGAAATCGCTCGAGCCAGAGGTCTGCACGTGAATCCAAAGTGCCTGTGCTAGGGACCACTCTACTTCACTCCCTGAAAGCGAAAGTCTGGCCCTGAGATCAAACACAACGGCTCCAGAACATGGCTCAAGAGCCCCAGGAGCAGGCTAGCTCCCAGGGCCAGTGATTGCATTCCCAGTTTCGGTTCAGTCATTCGCGGGATCCCTGATTGAGATCCCAGGGCCAATCGTCTGGTAACCCGCTCGGGCCAGAAGCCTGCACGTGAAGACCAACGTGTCCGCCCTAAGGACACCTCATCTAGATTCCCATATGCAAAGATCTGGCCCTGGGATCTTGAGCGAGCGTTCTAGGAGCGCTACAGCTTCCAGGACCGGTCAAGATGATCCTAAAACCAACCCTGCCGTAAATGGGATTGGTCTCCGGGAGTTGGGGACTATTTGTTGAGTTCAGTCACCCACGCATGCCACGTGGCCACAGTAATCACAGACATGAGCGTCTGCCATTATTTCTCGGCCTCCGCCATATATGGAAAATCATTTGTAGCACGAGCGATGGGCAATGCAGAGACTGGGCGTCTGATGAAAGGCTAGATTACTCGTACAGTCACGGCGAGTAACGGTGGGAGGGTATAGTGTAGCGAGAAGCATTTTGGTCGATATTCTTTAGGTAAATGACTCGTAGTTAGGAGCGTTTGTGAGCGTCAGTGTTGGCTCGCAACCAGGAAAGGGGTGGCATGTTGCTTGGGCGGGTCGAGCGAAGTGGGCATGGAGGCGACAGAGGTGGATCAATCGGAGACTCTGGGTGATTGTAGTATGCACGGATCAACGAGAATGCTGTACGATATCGCAGTTGTGTGTGTTGCGAGTGTCGCGAATAGAGACTCGATCTGCTCGCACATCCAGGGCTGAGATGTTCGCGGCGGATCGGCAACGCGCCCATCCACGATGCACGTGATTGCGGTGTTGCCTCTGCAGACCATTAGAACAAGATGCTTTTCTCTTAGCTTTGACGAAGAAGACTGGCCGTTGCATTGGTCACAAATTTAAGGCACTGTTAACTTTTATTCTACGTCCTGCGGAGGAAGGACCGTTAGCGAGCCTTGCAAACAGCTCTGGCGTTGTTATCAAGCATCACTCAATCAAATATTATTCGAAGATTCAGTCAAATGTATATGCGTTCTGCCTAAGTAAACTAAGTAATACTGTATCTACGGTACTGTATTAGTAAGTAACACATCTAGCTTTGCCGGCATGTCTCTCTTTGCTAGTTTTTGTAAGATCTCCGGCATATCTACTGTAACGTTTGTCCCCCGATATGTCCTTTGCCCAGATATGCTTGCTGATATGTGTACGAAGAGCTCCAGCATACAATGCTCTCGTATGAGAAGCTCTATCAGATACAATGAGTCCGCTGACACCCGCCAGCCGACAGTCGTCATTGTCGATATCACTCAAGAAGTCTCGTCACCTGGAGATGCATCGCAATTGACCCCCTGGCCTGTTTTTGAGCCGTATTCTACATCGATCAGAAAAGACTTTACGCTCTCGGATGTCAATCCACAGCTTCCATCTTCTTCGCTTGATTATTTCCAGAGCTTGACAGAGGTGGGCGCCCCAGTAGAAGACACTTCTGCAATGGCTTCACTGGAAGTTAAAATCACGAGTACGCCTCATGAGGCAAGCAGTGACTCTCGCGATGATGTTGCTAATATTTCGAGCCATGTCGCTGTAACGATGAGCTTTGCATCGTGGCCATTGGTTACTGTTAGCCAGGGCACCTCCTTTCCAGTCGAAACGGTAAATGCCAATGAAGAAGCCGCAGAGACCTTATCAACCCCAACATCTCGCGATACTCCCAGGCTTTCTCCGTTCTCCCTGGCTGACTCGGAGACCAAAAGCAGCGGAGTTTCCACCCACCACGAGGAGCCCATGGGAGCCAGGAACAGTGTGGGTGTCAATAACTCCACCACTCAACCTTTGCCATCGCCATCATACACAAGCGTCTCTCATGAGACTGGAAGTGGTAAAACATATATGACCGCTAAACCCAAAGGGCTGACGCTACTCAATACATACACGGAGACCGGGACTTGGACCCCGAGTTCATCAACCACTGCAAGAACTCCGGCCCCTGGAACGCATGGCGCCATCATGGATGGCACCGAGTTTTCAAGACGGATTTCCCAACGAGGTATGGCGTTGGTGCTTGGCAGTGTACTTGGAGGTTCTCTGGTCTTTGTCTGCATGCTTCTTTTGCACCGGCTCATTCTCCGGTCATTCCACAGAAGCGAGCAGGAATCACCAATGCATTGTCGGCCATCATCGATGACTGATCCGCGTATCAGGCAGAGCCCTGCAGTCCCTTGCAATATTGCTGGAATTTCACATTTCTCCGCTGACTCTGAAGATACGCGCTGTATTGACTATCAAAAGCCAGCCAAAAAGGCATGCATATCGCGTTGAACCGCTTGGGAATTTATTCTGGCTTTATCGCATGACTGCAAGTAGATCGAGAGCTATCATTTAGAGTATAAACCTGTCTATCTGATGATGTGGCCCCAAATTAAAACTTTTTCATTGAAGGCAGCTCTCTTGTCGCCTCATGAATATGGTATTGTACTTGTGGGATGATGTTCTGTGCACTTGGATCAGAAAACTGACTTTGTCCGATTTTTGCTGATCACATCATCAAGTCCGAATTGAACATTGCTTCCAAATGTAGGGTTTCAATGAAGCATATTTTGATCCGCTCCTCAAACTTCGACTCATTCATCTGATTCCGGGCCATGATATTTAAGAATCCCGTCCCTCGCTGCTCCACCGGCACCTGCACCCCTTATCTTCTATCTTCATCCCAAGGATCGAATTTGATTCTTTCAGAGAGGCCATGCCTGTCTCTGTAAATTTCAAGCCCGCTATGACACCTCACAGAAGAAATTCGCTTGATAGCCAAACTCCTCAGCCAGATGAGTTGCCCATCTGTATCCTAGTTGTCCTCTTCTTGCTCCTGTACAACAAGCCCGAGTCGCCTTTCAACACACCTGGAGATGATACAGAGCACTCACTTCTGCCCGGCCAAATGAAAACCAGCAGTTCCGCCCCTCACCACTTTCGCTCATCGAATCACCAGATGGCACGGCAGGATCTGCGGTGGAAACTGCTTGCCCGACAACAAGTCGCGAACTGGCAGAGAGACGCGGAAGACAAGGGCTTGATCTCACCAAATGAGAAACCAGCAGACATGGCCCCTATCTGGACGAGACTGCAAGGTTTGAAGAAGAAAAATGGGCCAAGATTGAAACGAGCGTGCCAGTTCCTTCACAGTGGCTCCCGTCAGCTTTCCCGTATGCTTCTGAGCGCGGATCCGCTCTTGCAGAAGCCGGGGACAGTCCCAAACACCAAGCCACAGATCGCATGCAAGATGCGAGCAATCTCGACGAAGCAAAAGAATTCTTGGGCGCAAAAAGATTCTTTGCCGATTTTTGCGCTTAGATGGCTTGCTGTGAAACTTTCCGAAAAGTCTACCGAGACAGCAACAGTAGACTTTTGGAGAGTGGCGACTCTGATAGCACAACACTGTGCTGCTTGATCACTTCCTGTTATTTTTCCGATGTGAATCTAGGGAGATTACATGCTTCACCACTCGGTTTGTACTCAATCTCCACTCGTAAATAGACAATCAAATCGATTTATGTGTAGTCACAGTACTCTGCAAGTTTCCAATGAGTCCTTGAAGATATACATTTCCATTACTTTTCAGTGAATTTGGATCGCTAAGTTTGAAATACTATGGCCGAGGATTTTGTTCAATCGGTGTGTGCGCTGCTTGGTTTGAGGCTATGGGGTCTGTACCAGCTGCCTCTCAAATGAGAGTGCATCACTGTGTCGACATCTGGGGAGATTTTCTTATGTCAAGGTGTCCTAAATATGTAAAGAATCACGGTTTTCATTTTCATTGCCCAAAATTTGGAAAGGATCAAAATCAAGACAACGTATGATTATTCCATTGCTCTACGCCTGTCAGAAAACCTCTGAAATGTCCCTACGCGCCGACATCCATGAACTGTGACGTCATTTCTGCTTTTTGTTTTTCCAACCAACTAATTGCCGCTTGCGTCAGGGTTTCCCCGCCGATTTGTTTTCTTTTCCTAGATGGGCCATTTGCACTGAATTGTGCATTGAATTCTGCATGAAGCTCCGAGGCAGGAAAGTCCATATAGTGGGAATAGACTCCTTCGACAATAACACGACCGGTCATCCCAGTGAGGACTTCGTCGCCAGTCCCAGGAGTGACGTCGAAAACGAAGACCTGGAAGTTGTGCTGCCGAAGCCCTTCGCAAAATTGGGTTATGAAGTGCTCATCGATTGGCAAATACACAGTCTGTCTGTTTTGCCCAATCGTGATGTGCATGGTATATCCAAGGCGCTGCAAGCTGTTTGCTGAGTCTGGAATCAAGGGAGCAAACGGATCAGCCATGGTAGTAGATGCACGCGTCGGCAGGTTGCGGGAAGCTTCTGCCGCTGTCTGGGCGGTCGGATGGTGTCCTTGGGCGATGGGTCCTTGGCCCGCGGGTCCTTCGGCGACGGTGGGATCGTCCAGTATCGCTTGGTCTGCATCATTACCGCGACGCACGGAAGTATCGCTCCCCTCATGGTCCATCAGATACCCAAAGAAAGCTCTGAAGACCCAACGGCGGAGGAACCCTGCCGATACTCGCGTCGCTGATTCAGGCTGCCGTAACGATTCGGCCGACAGGGCAAACCAATCTGCCTGCCGCGTATCGACAAAGGGCTTTCCGCATCTCTTGGCCGCATCCATCTCCTGCGAAGGATCCTCTGGGTAGTCGCAAGGTACCAAAGGCGGTAGCTCAATCACGGGCGACGATTGCGTCATGCTGCCGGGCGGTTGAAATCCCCGGGCTCTCAGGATACCACAGAAATGCCGCCACATGTCTGATCGGCGGAGCGGAAAAGCTTGATCCGTGTCTTGGTCCGGCGTATGCTCATTGCCAGGGCTCTTGAGACATTTTCGGCGCTGATGATCGGTCAACTCAAATCCATACTGGAAACTGAATCGCCAGAATTCCAGAACATCTGACCGCAGACGTTCCCTCCTCATCGACATCGAAATGGGCAAGGCAGTGTCGAAGATACTGTACACCCCTGTGTCAATGGTGAACTTCTCGTCCCGCGGTTGGATGAAAAGACGCTTCATGACACTTTGCGCGACTTCCAAGTAGAGGCGATCCTTGAAAAACGTCTTCAGCGTTGGAATTGGATAATCGATTCCTTTCAATCGCTCCCAGATGTCCTTTCGCTGTCCTTCCTCAAACTCTGCAAAGAGCTTTCCCTCGTCCATTTGGAGTTGCAGGAACTGTAGGTCATTTGTGGAGAGCTTTGGCGCACGAGCTTGTATCAAACCAACGGTACGCCCGTCTATCAGAGGTAGCAGATCAGTCCTTCCCCCGACCAGTGTCAGGAATGTCTGGAAGATCAGGTCCCAGTAGCAGATCATTGGCTACATGCGGCATCCAAGTTAGTCAGGATCTGCCCATTCATTTCAGGGTGACAGAATATCGACGCACCTCATCGCAGTGCATGGCGGTCACTTTATGTAGCAGTCCAATCCGCATGCCTTCCCAGAGTCCCCGGATGACCAGCAAGGAGTTCAACTTTCGATGGAGGGCCGCATTCTTGAAGAATCGCCGCAGATATCCACCTTTTTTGCTGCCCGCCACTGCCTGCAAAATGACCCACCAGTTGTTGGCAGCCAATCGGTCCTCGGGTCCATCCAGGTACCCTTCGTAGTAGTTGATTCGCTCGTAAATCAGCCCGTCGGGCGGTCGGTTGTCGTTCGGGTATCTTTCTTTTAAGGATTGAACGAACTTTCTCTGTAACACGTCTCTGTCAAGATCTTGACCCTCTAAGACGGTATCAGGTCAGCCGCATCGAAAAGAGCTCGTGGGGTAGACCTTGTGGTCAGTCAACGTACCTTCATCGTCAGTCACATAGACGTCCACAATCCACCACTGGTCTTCCGGATCGAGCTTCTTCCGGGCTGCTGCGATCAGATTCTCGTGATCCAACGCGTGCAGTCGGTAGTCCAGGTCTACATTCAAGCTCGGCATAATGCCATTGCCGTAGCGCGGACTCACACGACGCTCCCAGTCAGATCGGGGCACAACTACGGGCACATGGTTGTCTCCCATGAGCCGGCGACAGCCTTGAATTTTCAGGGTTTTCTCCAGGCGCTGGACATTGTCACGGTCATCCATCCATGCGCGAAACCCTTTTTCGAATGTCAGGTGTGAGAGGTGCACCCTGGCAGATAACTGGAAGTGACTTTGATGGTACGAGAATAACTTGCGCTCCAGATCTGCCAATTCTGATTGTCTTGTAGGCGCCATGGTAGCTCAAGTTGGTTCAATGATAGTGCACGTCAGAGTCTGCCACCAATATCTAGACATGGAGGATTGTCGCGAGGCAACTTTATAACAAGTCTAGGTCTGATCTCTAACATGGATAATTGGGGCGACAACGATATGCTCATGATTCAAAACGTTCAAATTACACCTCGCTATACTCTTGCACCACGAAAGTGCGCCGCCTACTCATTGAGGTAACGGGTCGGCATATGTGCCTGGCTCAAGAAGTGAGCACTTGAGTTTGGGCAAACATTTCAGCCCTGCATCTCAAAGCTCAACATAAGATTCAGACCCTTTACTATTGTCGCAAAGAAATGATCCTTAAAGACAGGAGAGATACATAGTGAGGCTTCATGTACAAATTCACAAGACATCCTCGGGACATCAACCGCCTCCTTCTTACTGAACGTGACGCCCTCTGCACGGAATATTAGAGCTTGGAAAGTCCTGATGCACCTCACTTGAAACTCTTCCACACCACTACCCTAGTTCGACTTCTCGTGCAGTCATTATGAAGCTCCCCGGGGGAAGCAGATTGGACCAGATGATCTCAGCGATCGCATTGTCTCTATCGGTGGCGGTTCTTGTCTGTCTGTCCTTTGTCTTTGTCGGCTGCTCCTCACCGTCTGCTCCAAAAGGCTTGTATTTCATGAAAGTGTGATGCTCTTCAACCCTGCATCCATGCATTACTGGCTAACCATCAAGTAGGTCGATCTTACCGACTTTCCAAGATTCGATCATTTGGTCATCCGCGACGCGCCTATCATACCCAATATCCACCCCCCAGATATCAACGAAGCAGCTGGAGGGAGCTTCGCCGACGTAGTGTCCAGTGTGAATGCTGGCGCGGGTGAGGTATCCGCGGCCACGTCAGCTGCTCAAGGCGCGATCCATGCTCAATTGACAGAGTTGAAATCACATCTGTTTCAGTACTATTACGTTGGGCTCTGGGGCTACTGCAAATCACGCGATGGCTCCAAGGTCGTTTGCTCTGAGCCTCGCGCGTCTTTCTCTTTTGATCTGTCCGCCGTGCTTGACTCTACGCCCGTCGAAATGGACAAAGTGCTGCCAAAGGTTGATCAAATAGCCATCTCGGGTTATCGACAGCTTTCGCACGGCATTATCGGCCTTTACATTTCTGGATTTATCACCACCATCTTGGTCGTGATCCTTGGGGCTCGGAGGACCTTTTTGGCTCGGGGCAGCAAACTCCTTGCCCTATTTTGCATAGTAAGTGATACCGAAATCACTCTCATGACACGTCTCTGACACGAATAGGCTTCGGCATTGCTGATCTCTGTCGCCACGGTCGGAGTCACTGTAATGTACGGCCTTTTCACTGCGGGAATCAAAACAAGCTTGCACCCATTTGGCGTCCGGGCCGGATTGGGAGGACAGATGTTCACGGCAATATGGTTAGCGGTATCTTTCTCTGTTGGCGCGTTCATCATATGGCTACTCCAGGCTTTCTGTTGTTGTATCTAGTTGCCGCGCTGGTTTAGTTTCGCCGGTTGCCAGCGCAGATTGTGGATCTCAAACCCATGTAGGTGCGAGTTCGGGGAGAGTTGATTTGACTGCTATGAAGTTTTTAGATGCAACGCCTTGATATTTAGATTCTCGCCTAATTCATATCCTTGTGCTTTGATCTCCGCATTCACTTCATGCCAAGCTTTGACCATTCCACAAGTTGCGAGAAAAGATAGTGAACAGAACAGTACAAATTGACACGAAGCAAGAAAGAATTCCAGGCTGTAACCTCAATCATTTCTGCTAGTTCTTTTCAGGCGCGAGTCGATTTGATCTTTGTTGTCTCCGATGGCATGTCTGCCAAGCAGGGCGGCATTTGGATTGTTGTACAGCCTCTTTATGGGTTCCAAAACGTCCCGAGCGGAGAAGACGAGATCAACCGGGCACAGCTCTTCGCAAGTGGCTTGCGCTTCGCATGCCTGTTCAATCAAGCCCGAAACTTGGTTCTGAAGCTGCCACAAGATTCGGTGGACGGAGTAGGCGGAATGATCGCCATCTGGTATATAGATGCTCCGTAGTTCGTTAGACGTCTGTTCCGTGAGGTCTTGCAGTAATTTGAACAAGGCATAGCAATCACGATAGTACGCATTCTGTGCCCGCTGTCGACCAAGTTCACGAACAATGTGCTCGTTCCCGTTCATTCTTGTACGCGGCGGGACTTGCAAAGGATTGAAGATGTGTACACGCTACCTCGGCACTGTGAGATTGACAAATAGCCCCAACTGGCTCTGGCAGTTAAGTAAAAGGCGATCGATTCATGGAGACTGGTGAGCTGGGAAAATTTCCCAGAGACTCGAGACTGGTGATTCGAGAATGAATTCAACTGGTGATCGAGTAGCCTTAGAGGGCCTCACTTTCTAGTGCCCGTTGAGTGATGTCGAAAATCTCACCTCTCCGTTTTGAAATCATTTTCTGGTGATTAACAGAATTTGGAAAACTTTTTCACAGACATACGGGTTATCGATATGCTCCCTCGTTTTTCTATAAATCCAGAGATGCACCCAAGAATACCACTCAGCAAACTCTGTCAGTTTCAGCTTCGCAATGAATGCAATCAATCCCCAAGACCTACCCGACCGCGTGCTCGGTGCCATCATCAGCGGTTTCGGTCTCTCTTATTTCATTGTTTTTCTCCTGCAGTTTCTTCTATTCCACTTCCCCTCGTCCCAAGAGGCCATTCCAGAAGCTCTCGCGGTGATTGCGTTTGGTGTGGGTGTCATGCTTTGGTACCTAGGTGTCTTCTTTCATCAGCTTTTCCGCACATTCCACGAAAGATCCACTGAACAACAGCTTAGACTGCAAGCTGGAGTTCTGTTCTTGATTTGGACAGCGGCAATTCCGACCATTGTCTTCCTTTTCCCAGCTCAGCCGTGGCTACAGCTTGGATACACATCGGCTTTGGCTGTCATCGCGATTGGCAGCCTACCTCAGAAGGTCCTATGTGATGTGAACAACCAAAAGTCTCCAGACACATCTTGCATTCATCTGGCATCGGTGATCATGTTGTCTTTGACACCGACGATTCATGCCCTGGCTGAGCCAGTAACCGGCGCTTCGCCATTGGCGATTGCTTTTGGTCGGATGGTCATCATCGGTGCACTGTCTTTTGCGTTTCACTTTCTTCAGCCACTGGAACGCATCGGCCTTGCTAGGATCTGGCAACTCAGCTTCCACGGGATGCACATGATGTTGACGTACAGCCTCGTGGCGTATTCCAAGGCAGTGATGCAGGCCGCAGTTGCTCGCATGTCGTGATCTGCATGTGGAAAACCTTCTCCAATACATGTACCAGTCCCTGACGCCAATTCAGTCTCCGTTGGAATTCTCTTAGTGAGAATGCAAGGAATGATCAGTGCTGCGATATTTGGAAAGGTTTCCGGCGATTGTACCTCTGTACACTCGCTTTCTCTGGCTATGATTCAAACTCCAATCTATCATATTGTCTGCCTCATCTCTTAGACCTGGTGAATTGGATTAGTCAGTACTTACGTTCCCCCTAAAGATATATACATGGTCGAAATGTGATTTTGTCTGGTAAATCTGCGTTGCGTGCTTGGTATATAGATAACACGTTCTCGTGAGTTGTCCCGAAACAATAAGCAAAATATTCGGTTTTTTCTTCACGCCTGCAGATAAAAAATCAGTGTCTCATGCACTAGTACTATAATGCAAGGCCTTATACTAGACTTGTGCTAGGCTACTGTACAGGAGGCTTATAGTGCCCCTGGAAAGCAAGTCTGCAGATTCCAAAAAACAAGATCATCATCGCTCGTGTATTAACCCTTCGCCTCAATAGAAGATTTTGCTCCTTTTTTGGTAAACTATGTGTTCATCAGTCAATAAGCCTAGCCTCGAACAGTACAGTATGTATTGAGTTAATGAGTCTTTCCTAGAACTGTAAGGGGTCTTTTTCGAGATGGGGAAGCGATCATGTAGAGTTTGAAGCTCATCGAGTTTTTTGACGTTTTTGACGCGGTCGATATGCGCTTTGGAAGTAGTTATAGATGTACTGAACAGTCTTCGAAGTGGCACATGAATTAATATTCTTCCATTCCTAACTGGCATATTACTTAACATACTGCCTTTTTGGTCCAACCCTTCCTCGTTTTAGTCATATGCTATATATAAGGCCCCCAACATGATCAGTCAGACCCTAAGTAAGTTCCAAGGTACTCGGATAAAGCACCGCAACTATTCACGTTTTCATAGTTGTAACCAAAGCCCTCCATCTCAACAATGGTGCGAAAGTACAGAACAGAAGTGGCGACCTTCTCGACAAATCCATACATGTTCGTGTAACCTTCCTTCGCATATTTCAGCCACGATTCCGAAATGGCTTCGGCGGCACCCAATGCATGCTTCTTCAAGGTAACCCTAGCGGAGCCAACATCGAAAGCAATCTTGACGCCTTTCCCGGTTGAACGCTTCTGATGGGAACCAGTGGAGTTACCACTTGTAGCAAATGGAATGTGTAGCTGCCCAGTGCCATCCTCAAATTTCAGCATCGTGTAATCCCGACCAGTCTTGTCACCTTTCCGCACATTCTTCATGAAGTATCGAGCGGTTAAGGCTGGGTCACCATTCTGTGCCTTGGCTTCTCCAATTGGGAGAGTGGTATTCACAACATAATCAAATTCGTAGCCACTGGTTCGAAGTACATACTCAAGGCCCAGGATCTGCTCATCCTCGACGGTAAGCGATCGACGGCGCTTGCTCCAATGTGCGTCATAGGCATTGGCATAAGCGGAAATCTCTCCAATCTTTGCGGGCACTTCTGTAAGTAACAGCAGCCAACCCAACGCGCTTTCAATTTCGCTCGCCCAACTTTCGCAGGTTTCGGATTCTGTCCACGCGCAGAATTTTTTAACCGGGTAATTAAATATTCCGACCCACATAATTCTAATGTGCATTATATATTAGCTCGCCAAATATAGACATTCTAGGTCGGGTCCATAGGTAGTACTTACGCTGCTTGCATGGTTGTGGTAGCGTAGATCCCCTTTCCTATACCCACACATGATGCCCGCCGTTCTAGCTGGGGCTGAGCGAGATCCAGAGCGGAAATATCATTGTTTTTGTAAGTGGTGACAGTGTTAGAGGTAGGACCAGCCACCGCTACCCCGAAGAGAAAAAAGGCGAAAAAGGCTCGGGAGAGCTTCATTTTGAAGAACCACGCAGCAAAAGTAGTCGACCAATAGAAAGGACCTTGGGAGACCGTGGAAATACTTTCTTGGGTTGTAGTATCCAAAATGTGCGGTGTCCTGAGGTGATATTTATATCTGAGATGATCAATGCTAAAGTTTCAATACCCGGGTGTGGCCGAAAGATACACAATTCTAGAGCGACAAGTATGCCATTGTGGCTTTTAAAGTTCGGAATTGATAATTAATTAATAAAAACTTGGAATGGTTTTCACGAAGTGCGCTAAGCTAGCTTCGGTTTATTCTCTCCTCGTTTGCTACGTAAATCTGTGTCTTTTTTGAGGTTCCTTTCATCTTCAATAACCTGTGGTTTAAGTTGATTCACTGCCGATTGATATTTTTTGAAGAGAGTATATAAAATTATGGAAGAAAATCCCACTAGTTTATGGTGCTAGGATGTGAGGTTTGAAATCTATTGCCTCTAAAATTTTCCGATATATCCATCTCCCCAGTACGTATCGAGTATTATCCCAAGGTCTCTGCCCCCGGCGAAATACACCGGATAACAGTGGATGATACCTATTCCGTCCCCCTAGTCATACTAGTCAATATTTAGTCAGAACCACAGAATTCTGTTTAGCGTTACAGGGGGCATTTCTGAACAAGGCCTCGAAGGAGAAATTCTTGAGAGCGGGACTAGCTACTCGGAGTACTTGAGGATGCTAGCGCGCAAGCTCTAGATCCTTTGGCTGCGTCTCCGTATCAGTAGCCGATTTCCCACTTGAGCTTCCACTCCATTTCTCTTTCGCGCGTTATCATAGACATAGAAAATTTAAGCCGCATAATTGTCGATAGGTGCTTTTGAGCTGGAGAGGAAGAAGAATTACATCTTGCGCAGTAGGAAAGGGAGAAGCATTATAAGACATATAATCGTGTTTGGGAGAAAATTATACTTCGTAGAGAAGGGAAAGAGGAGAAAGGAAAGGTGGACGATAATCCTCGATCTGCCATCGGGGCTGAAAATGAAGTTTCTGGAGTGGGTCTCAAATTCCAGTGCGGCATTTGTCAATAATCAGTAGATGATAGGATAATCATGAAATCACTTGTGGAATTTGCTATGATACATATTGTGCACACATTAACTGGTGATCTACAGCGCTAGTAATGGACCTAGTAATACCATCGGCCGTATCTCTGTAGCTTTACGTCTATACCATATTTGGACTAGCTAACCGACTAAGCTCTAGGGTCCCGCTTGATTACGTACAGCTGCTCAAAGGAGCGGGGCCAACCAGGTTTTAATTTCAAATAGGCGATATTTTAGCTCCGGCACTTGGTGATTTTTACGCTCTATTTCGTTACCGAACAGACCAGCTAGTACATACGAGGCATACACTCCGTAGTTCCGGTCAGTTCATCGGAATAAACGAGCAAGCCGTTGAGAATCCGAACGAAGGTCGGCAGGAGTGGGACCCACCCCGAAGGTTCTGGTCCGGAGTAGCCGATGATTTACCGTCTTTAATATATCTTCTTTAGATGGACCCGACTCGTAGTTGTTTCGTAGAGGTATAATTTGCCTAGGTCTCTCCAGATACGACGGATGAGTTCTTATACAATACAATCTACAAGTCAAATATCGTTATTTATCATGAATCAGATCATCCAGTAGTGGGTTTGGGGCTATATGTTCGCAAGTTGTGGTGGACCCATTTTACGCCTAAGCTCTAGGGCCCCGCTTGATTACGTGGCGCGGCGTTCTTGGGAGGAGCTTGGCCTAAATTTGCTTAGTTAGGAACTACAGCGCTACGGCCCATATATTTAGCTCCATTACTAACGAGCTCATTACTAACGAGCTCTTACTATCTCATTACCCCTCCCAATTTATTCTATCTTACGGACCGGTAGTTCTCAGCATTTTATCTTAGCTGTTTTACATTAGCCCTAATTCCTATTCCATTATTATCCCACACAAGAGTCCTTCAGATCTCCTTCCTACTCGACATATTTCTCTTTAAATCTACCGTGAAATCCTCGAACATCCGACGTGGACTCAAAATCCCCATCATCGATTGTCGACTCCCCTGCAGAACCAGCTGAAATCCTATCAGAGATGAATAATCAGCCTAGCTCCGCCAGACTTGGTGGCAGTCCATTCGTGGACAAAGCCTTATAGTATGTACCTTTGTTTAGCTCTATTGACAGCACTACTAACATGAAATTCATCTTAGTGTTATGCAAAACCTTTCCCAATGCCTTGCGATATATGAGATCTTCTGCTCTAAAGTCCTTGAGGAGGATAAATACAGAAAATACTGCCCCCAATGTATTGCCTACGCTGCATTCTTTGTTCTATTTTTTCATGTTCTCCAAGTATACAGAAGATTGAAGAGAGAAGAGATATCACAAAGAGAACATTAGTTTTCGGATACCATAATTCAACCATTACCGACTTAATCAGATTCCGTAAGGAGTATGTAAAATATTCGATCATGGGATGAATGAAAGCTGATCGGACGATGTTGTTCGAGCAACGGGGCTGGCGGGGGTAAGGGCATTTTAGGGGGCAAATCTCATTTCGAATTTCCCTTCATACCAGGATATTACACCTCGGAGTTTTGATTCCGGCTTCCTGCCCACATACATTACAATTTCAAAAGCTTGTCAGCATGGGACCACTTGGTCCTCGCAGCGACACATGAGGGCGATTTTGTGGAGTCCAAGCAGATGGCAGCAATCTTGGAAAGAACTGGTTAAAATTGAAAACGTAAATGACACCTATTCATGGCAAGGGAAGACCGAGAGCTTGTAACGGCAAGCAAGAGACCGTTTCATGCTTTATTTGCGCATGGTTTAGTAGCCCTGACTTCGACACCAGCTTCTCCCCACAAATATTGCACTCATAACACATGTCAGTGGGAAACGGCTATATATACAGTATGTATATATATCCGTCGGGTACTGTATCGGTAAATCCGCCCTGAGACGGGATGCATCGTCCGAATCACAGTCTGGTCGCGTAGCCGATGCGACACGAACACCTCAGCCTAGGATGTGTGGGCGTCCCCGAACCTCTACGCGCGATTCCAGAAACAAATAAGAGCACGATATCGCACCGCAACCTCGTTGGTCCACGGAGGCCACCTTTGTAAACGGTTATCGATTATACGACTGTGTCACCTCCATGGCCCACTGTGCTCGACCCGCCCATACAACATGCTACCCCCTTCCTCGTTGCAATCCAACACCGGCGCTCGCAAAAGCCCCTAACCACGTGCTGTAAACCTCAAAGATCGACCGAAATGCTGTTCGCTGTGATATACTCCTCACTGTTGTTCACTGCGGATATATGAGTGATATAGCCTTGAACCAGGCGCCCAGTCTCTGCATAGCCCATCGCTCGCGCTACAAATGATGTCTCATACAAGGCATAGACTTAGAGATAAGGGCGGACGTTTATGATTGTGATTTTTGCGGCCATGTGGCGTGTGTGTTGGCGAATACAAAAACTAGTCCCAGACCCCTGAAGACCTACCCCATTTACGGCACGGTCGGTCTTAGGATCATTTTGAACGGTCCTGGGAGCTGCAGCGCTCCTAGAAAGCTCACTCAAGATCCCAGGGCCAGACTTTCGCTTTCGGGGATCTAGGTGAGGTATCCTTGGGACAGGCACTTTGGTTTCATGTGCAGGCTTCTGGCCTCGGCTTCTAGGGGCCATCTAACTAGCCCCACGTCAGGGTTATGCATGAAGCATAAAGGGCGGATGGAGATATGACGTACGCGGGACCCGCATGCTGCATATGGTGTGGGCCTCTGAACAGTCTTGCACCTCATATCACTGTTCGACCGTGTCTAGAACACGGGGTGCCACCGTTTTTGTTCAAAATATGGGTTCCCCTAGACGCGAGAAAGCCCCTCTCTCTATTGATTCCTCGCGCTGCGTCTTGTATCTAGCGCCAACTGTAGTTGTCCTTAATGTCGATTGCTGATTCCGAGACACTACCAACCTCAATGTATCCATGAGACCCTCAAATATAAGGATTCCGATCGGGGTCCCAGGAGATAGCAGTCCCTTGCACTAATGATGAGGCATTAACAATGGAGGGCATGACCATGTAGATATTTAAGCAGTGCTATCTCCGTCGTTGTACCTCCTATCTTTCATTATTTCACAGCTCTCAGAGCCTCATATCCCAGGTTTCTTTCAATCTGTCACCACAATCATGTTAATAACCTCCCTCTCTACCAAATTGTCTTGAGTCAATGACTGACCCATTGATGTCTAGACAAACAATTCAGAAACTTCAGCGAGACTCGAGCTTGGCGACTCCTACGATCGAACGGCTCTTTCTCGTACGCTGAATTTCCCTATTTTTAATACTGACATCCCCTCGCCGCTGCTCACACTCAAGAACGATCGATTTTTGTCTCATGGATATCGGCAATTTTTACTTGATTCCCTCATGTTCGAGAACATCGACGCCCGTAAATTCACCATCGAAGCAGCGCTTTTGGGGACGTGTGAGTGGCTTCTTAGCCACCCCGACTATCAAGCATGGCTTCACCCCACGCCATCAATGCAAAATTCTCGCGTTTTGTGGATCAGCGGTAAGCCAGGTGCGGGCAGGTCGACGATCATGAAATTTGCATACCGGAATATGAAGCGCGGAACCGAGAGTCAGCATGCAGTTACAGCTTCCTTTTTCTTCAACAAGGAAGGTGGATACTTGGAAAGGTCAATCATGGGGATGTATCGGTCGTTGCTGCTTAAACTTCTTGAAGGATGCCCTGACATCCAGCTTATTATGGATGATTCCACCATGTTGTCACTGAGCTACGATGGCTGCCCTTCTTTGCATGTTCTGAAGCACCTCTTTTGCCAAGCAGTCTTTGCTCTTGGCCAGCGGTCATTCTCCTGCTTTATTGATGCTCTCGATGAGTGTGATGAACAGGAAGCTGCGGACTTGATGCAGTACTCCGACAAACTTACCAAGATATCCACTGCTGCAGGTAGCCTCTTTCGAGTTTGCGTCTCTGGTGGAGATGGTCTCTCTATCTCTCATCGCTTTAGAGCCCAAATCATACTGGAAGACCAACCCGGCCACGTGAAAGACCTAAAAAGCACTATTACACGCACACTTCATGCTGGAACATCTACATTGGTCGAAGGGCTGCACTTTAAGCTTCTCCTTAAAGCTGCTGGTAACTTCAGATGGGTGGTTTCAGCTGTCGAAGATATGAACACCGAGGTCGCACAGGGTGAAATATATCTGGGAAAAGTACTCAAAAATGCTGGACTAATTTAACGTGCTGTCCAGACATTGCGAGAGAAAAAGAATACGAGATGATATTACTCGGAGACGAGGGTTGAAATGATCCTCATCAAGATTCATAGCAGTAGCAAGTAAATAGGCCTTCCATGAACCTTGACACACGCACACGTATCTTCTCTTCACGCGATAGATTGAGAAATGTACGCGGCATGGCTGAACTTATATTCGACAGATACGGTGGAAACATTTCAAGATGAATATCATGGCAAGGTCCCAATGAAATGATGATACGATCATTGGTCTTAGTTCTCGTGAGATAAGAAAAGAGATGACAGTACAAAATGTTATTCGCGAAAAGGAGGGTCAAATTGCCAGCTGAGAGAAGGGAGGTAAAAGCCCATTAATCAATTCCGTCCTCAAACAAAACGTGTACTCAAAATCAAGATCTCAGAAGTACGATCTGAGTGTAGCCAAGCTTCGAGTGTCGGTTGCCATAAGATCTAACAATCCGTTGTAATTTCCGGAACTTTCGACGAGGCCGCAGAGATAGGCGTGGCCACACCCGGTGTCTTGACTGATACGCGATGAGATGTAGCGTCAGAAGAAGTTGGTGTAGTTGATCTCATGTTTGAAGTCGAGGTCTTCGCAATACTACCAATGGTACATGATTTGCCCTTTTCTAGAGGTGTATCAATGCTGCAGCTCGCTTCATCCCCTTGATCGTTGTGAAAGTGAAGCGGACCGCTTCGAGACACTTCAACCCACGCGATGTGGTGGTGCGAATTACACAGATTGACTTTCACCGCATTCGGCTCGGATCCTGTGTCCTGATGCCCTGTCGTCAAATCTCGAAGCTGTTAGAAATGAGCTTGATTGAGGGCGGATTGCTTACTAGAGCAGGAATTGCCTTCAAGAGGTGCAAATGGCTGGGAGTATCCAGTGCAATCGAAGTTGTCCGTGGAATACACCAAGCACTGGTCTTCATAGTCGATTATTTGGAGGGTCCCTCCAAAGGCGATGGAGATGAATGTGAAAAGAACCAATGACATGTTCATCTTCATGCTGATATTACTGCATAGATCGATTTTCAGGATTCACTTAAAAGGATGCCGCTACCACAGTGAGAAGGGGCGCACGCTTGGATTTATAGTCTCATCCGAGACTCTAGAATTTGATAAAAGAATACAGTCGGTGCGACCTAAAAAAACTGATCTGGCTTTGAAGTCACATTAGCATTGAAGGTGGAATTATGGCGTAGCTGTAGAATCTTGATGCCCAGGCAGAAGTTGCTACGTGATTGAAAATTGCTAGAAGACTCATTTCAACGGGAGCATACTGTATGGTTCTGCGGTGTAGCAAATTGTCAGCTTTTAAAGTGAATGAAAACTGAGAACGTCTCGGCTGGGGTGGTGCATCTCATGGTAATGGATTGTCGATCATCAAAAGCTGAAGCCATAGCTGGCTCATTTTCTGAATCCGTTAATTCGTGTTGACTGATCTATATGCGAACAACTAATTAAGCTCATAGCCCCTCAGTAATAGGTGAAATTATGCAATATGTTTCACACGTAGGAGTGTCTCTTAGGCTCCAGGATATCTGTCCATGTAATTGATGGGTAACTATCCATGAAGTGAAGTTGACGAGCTGTCATGAGAAACTCAATACCTTCTAGCTCTAAACACACTCTAGCACAGCTGGTCTTCTCAAAGTGACCTAGTTGGCTATACGAACATAGATTGAATTTAAGGTGCTGTCGACTCTGTCGAGAAGAAAAATCGATTCCTGTCAGTCTACAGGAGTAGCAGTAGTAGTATGCGATCACAATGAATAACAAATCACTGTATCAGTTCTTAGTCAAAAGATGACTTTTTCGAACGTAGATCGTAAAATCTTCAATTTAACACATACAGGCCATTCTCCGCCCATCAAACGAATACCCCACTTTTCAATTGTCTTTTGAGCCAAATCAAACCATGATTTAATGATTTGAGGGCCCTCTGAAAGAGCTCTTTGATAGTCGTATTTACGAGAGGTTCGAGTAGAGAGATTCGGGTGTCGTTTGATGAATTGAGAAGGCCAATTGATACCAGTGGTAGATAGTGTGTTTTTCTTTGCACTCAGTAAAAAATTGGCCATATATCGCAACATAGGCAAAGTAAGAGCTGCACCTCTTGAATCCATATCAAGTAACCAATTTTTTATCGATTGCTCTTCAATTTGAGAGAAAATGTGACTAGATTTCCTTTGTGAGTTCGACTTTTGCAGGTTCTGTGCCTCAATGTTCTGGCGACCAATGGTTGCCGAATATAATCACTGCAAACTAGTAAGATTAACTGACCCGTCTTGGCTGACTTAAAATTACGTACACATGCCATCCAGCAGCAATTATTTATAGCAGCACCAATACAATGGGGAACAAAAGACCCAACAAATATCGTAAAATTGTGGAAGGCTGGTCGCGGGGTTCCCAAGTCAAGCAGGCAAACCAAAAGCCTGACCATCTATGAATCGTAGAAAAGTCTCTGGAGACGAAGACTAATTTCGTCCATACGTTCATCATACCAAGTTTTCAAGTTCTCATGCATTGTATACCCAGGCAAATGCAAGGACGATCGAAGCGCTTAAATGCGGGGTTGTCCTACGAAAGCGACTGTAGTTGTTTCAGATTGATGACCATGGAGGATAACTCGATGCTCTAATGGCCACTGTCATACTGTTGCTTAAATCTTACAAACTCAAGTGTCAATTTTATGGAGTGGCACCAATTGGGAATTTCCATAATGTTGCCTTGCTGGTAATATTGCATTTCAGGAATGCCCCATCCTATGTAGATGCATTATCTTAGTCTCGATCGGCTATGCTAGCCTCTCTTGACCCGAGAAGTTTGGGGAAAGAACATTCAGACGTCGGTGCTGGAGGACTAACAAAATACCACGAAGTCTGCTGCTGCATTGACTTGAACATCTAGTTAAAATTGCTCACTCAAGTAGTACTTGCTCATTCTCATCAAATGTGTTTTCAGCCTGAAATTCCAACCCTGCCATAGCGGAAATGATATATAAAATATGAAATAAAAAAAACCCGAATAATGGCCGAGTCACAGAAGAACCCAGGTCATTTGGAAAATCCGCCAGGGAGCATGGGCGGATTCGCACCTATATCTTGGCTGGCCAATCTCGAAGTTCAACTGAAGGGTATATGATCGGGTTAAAGGTTTCCCGGTAATTTGTAGCCTGTTCAAATGCATAAGAAGCACCGATAACTCTAGCATCATCCCACCTACGGCCCACGAATAGAATGCCAGTTCTGGAAACGAGAAACTTAGCCATTGCTGTTACTTTACAGCAATCTCAAGCCGGGAATTGCAGCCACTTACGGGATCTCGGGTCCAGTTGAGATGAATCCATTGTGCATCTTTTCCAGAGGCCAGTCTTTGGGATAAGCTTGTAGAGGTACGGATACCTGTGGACAGCCGCCCACACTTGCTGCTGTCTCTGTCCATGCTGGTGCAACCAGTATATCGCAATCGTAGTTGTCAAGAAGACTTCCCAGCTCTTTGCCCATCTTCAGCCGAAGAGAGAGTGATTCTTGATACTCATCTGAATTCATATCGTACTGTTGGGCTTGCTGGGCTGCCGTGTCGAACTCCGTTAATTGATAGTTTTCTGCATTTTCCTTGGAGAATTTTCTTGTGTAGTTCCTGATATCGTCAAGAGTAAGAAGGCCTTGCGGGTTTTCAGTAAATGAGCTCAAGAATGATTCAATGTCTAGAGTAGATGGAGAGTCAGCTGAGAACAGAAATGTGAAATCATCACTGGTTGTGCCTCACTTTGTTTTAGAAGTAATCGCGACGCAAATTTCCATTTATAACCGAAGCGTTTAGACATGTTCAGCGTCCAAGAAAAAAATTCAACATCATCAACGATCGTTGCACCGAGGTGCCTCATTTTACTAAGTGCTTCATTAAATTTCTCGGTGGCAAATTGATCCCGCTTCATGATGTGTCGTGCGACCTGTCCTGGTCAACCTCATAAGCCACATAAGCAGGATGGAATCACTCCTACTGCTACTCTTAAGTTTTGAAGACCAGAGGTTCTACAGTGCTCTACAAAGTTAGTGCGACCGAGGGGTCGAGGGACGCTATGCAAGTCTCGCGGGTCAACCTTCTCCAAGGTATCCTCGTCGTTTGGTTCTGTACAGCATCAGATCATACCTAGACAGAAACATAGAGGAGATCGAGTGACTAACCGGCTATAGCGGTGAGTATGAGGGCTGCATCTTTGACAGTTTGAGATAAAACTCCCACGCTATCTTGATATTCATTGGCAATAAAAACTCCATCTCGGGAAGTTAAACCCGCAGTTGGTTTCATCCCGATAAGACCGCAGCTACGAGCTGGCGTTGCAATGCTTCCGGAAGTCTGATGATTGTCAGATCAGTGCAAATAATCATGTTCTCAGCATCTAACCTCTGTACCCAGTGCAGCGGCCGCCAATCCCAGAGCTGTCGCAACAGCGCTCCCCGTCGAAGAACCACCGGCATCCTGATTCGCGCAGAAAATACCGGCACACTGGTCGCCTACCGGAGACCAGCCATTTGGCGCAACACCCGGAGATCTGAAATTCAGCCACTCAGACATGGTTGTCTTACCAAGAATAATGGCCCCTTCCTCGCGCAGTTTGCGAACCACGGTCGCTTCAAGTGTAGGTTTTGCACCTACCAAACCGCTGAATCCGGCTGACAATTATCGATAGCATTAGCTTATTGGTGAAAATATGAATCATTCGTGTGCAACTATGGCTGATGGATAATTAAACAGAAAAGGAACCAAGGGGTAAGAAGATCCTACCTGTTGTCGACATGGAATCTGTAGTAGAAAATACATCTTTCAAGAGAATTGGGATACCGTGGAGCACGCCCCGGGTTTGATCATTCTGACGTTCATCATCACGCTCTCTTGCGATATCCAAAGCATCTGGATTGATCTCACTAACGGCATGCACCTTTGAATTGACTTCTTCGATGCGAGCAATGTATATCTGAGAATATCAGACAAGTGATGCCCAATCTTTTGTTTGACTTACCTCAACTAGTTGAACGCTTGTCAATCTCCGTTCCTGTAACTCCTGGAGAAGCTCATCGATTGACACATTGCTCAGCCGTAGCGGAGATTGACTCATTATAGATGTTGGTCTCTGCAGCCTGGATAAAAGCGAAGTGGCCAGAGTCATGAAAATGAGGTTTCGAGGATGAAAGAAGCCGTCAACCCGGATGTGTTGAACTTCGTGAACAGGAAGTTGCTGTTCAACCCTATCGGTTTTTTGATACTTGTTTTCTTTTGTGATGGCAGGTTTTTAGAACTGTAGGGGGGGGGGGAAGAGCGGTGGTGACACTTGAACCAGAGTGTGCTACCATTTATACACAATGACCCAGGTGACTCAGCATAGGTTAATGACATGTCTTTCGGGTAGAGACGATTGAATTGGGTGTCAACGTATTGAAGTAATAGAAAGACGCCGTAATCATAATAAATGGCTGTCTCAAATTCAAGAAAGCCAATGAAAAAATTTGAATTCGGCCCTCGTTTTTCTATTCTGTTTTAGGCAAATCTTTTTGTTCCCAAAGAGATTTGCCAAAAACGGAATGGTCTTGCAGGGATCATCAACCGGGTGGTCTGACTAGTTAAAATCACTTTTGAACAGGCTCAGATGAGATGTGGCGTCGTTAGTATTGTATCACTCTTATCTATAGGCCTAATCCTAAAATTCTAGGTCGTAAGACAGTGGTCTCGGCATATGATACATACTTGTTCGTGATAGGCGTTCCATCGGAGTTTGAACTCGGTAAAGAAGAGCGTGAGCGATGAGAATGAAGCAGCAGAAAACCACATTTTTGCGATCATCTGCGAGATGGTACATATAGCACGAAGGATATTTTTCTCAGTACATTCACTGAGTCGGTTGCTACTTCCTTTCAACATTCAAAAAGTTGGAAAATATCAGAATAACTGATCTGAAATCAACTTTTGTATTTTTGGCTACTTCAGGCAGGGATCATAGGGAGAAGTTTGATGCGAAAGTTTTCCTAAGATCATGTTGGAGCACCTGTATTTATGGTATTGTCCTGTCACCCTGATACGCACTACTCATGCATTAGGGTTAGAACTGTATCTATAGTATTGGGTCGTGACCCACAGAACCCCACAACAATACAACTAATATACACATGCTACAAGAGAGAAGGACTTCGTTGACCCACCCTCCCGGTTTCCTGGTTCCCAGACCCGCTTGTCTGGTGAATTACCACCCCCAAGCAGGTCAATTGTCGATTTGCCCCTTTTTCTTCCGTCCAGAAGTTCCTCGTTGCCGAGACCGAAGTCGGTAACATCAGTCGCCAGGAAGTTGTCGGCATTTCCTCTCCCTCTCATAGACCTCCACTCTGGTATGACCTGCCTGGATATGTGCGCTGCACCTACGGCATACTCAATACTGGGATTCTTGGACTGGCCCCAAGAGCTGCAGCGCTCATTCAATGGGAATGGAATGAATCCGTTTTTGTATTACAAGTCAGGATAAGATAAATAGGTCTATGTAGGTGCCTCTGGACAGGAACAGGGAAAATTACTAAATCAGGCGCAATATAGCCTCACGCCTACTGACCTAATTCGACAAGTGTTCAAATCAAATGAAGCACATTATTGTGGCGCAATTTCTAGATGAAGTGGTGAACGGAGTGATTTTCTGCAATTATGTTGAGAAAAGAATGGACTAAGATCTATCGAATGGCAGGGAAATCTGTTAGGAATTCTAGTCTTGCCCATTTGAGCACCTGAAAAAGGCAATGAAGTGCTGAGATGCTCCAACAGAACCCAATTATTCTGGAAGTATCCAAAACTGTGGGGCCAGTAATCTCGCCTGTGGTAGAAGCAATGTTCCAGGACTGGTCATGCAGAGGAAGAAGGTGTAGAAAAGCGGTTTGGGAAATTGGAAAAGCATGACCGCCGAAAAACGAGAACCCAGTGGGGGTTGTTGGTGTGTCAGCCTACAAGCCATCGTTGCCATCGTTTGGGAAGTGGCTGAATGATAGACTTCGCTTATCCAGCGACTTGAATCAGTATAAGACATGGGTTCGTGCACAAGGAGCATTTGTTTCATTGACTATGATGGGCCACCCCATTGACATCATATTTTTCAGCGGTAACAATCAGGCCGCTAAAGCTGGTAGGTTCCAGGAGTCACAGTATGTAAAATTACGTGAAATGTATATTATTACAACATCTTTTGTAATTGCAGGTGGATCTTGTCCGAATAATTGCGTGTGAAATAAGCCGTTGACTCCCAGAAGCCACTGTTTTATTTTTCAATAACGCTAGGATGGATTGGCTCCATCCTACACATTATAATCAGACGATTTGAAAGTACAGTAACTATATAGGTTGATCAGGACACCTGGTACGATTAAACGAAGGAGAAGAAAAGGAAGAAAGAGAGAGACGAAAAAAACGAAGATCAAAGGATTAATTCGACCTTCTTGGGCGGGCTCCTTCTCGGGCGGGCTCCTTCACCAGCGCCCCCTGTTCCACCTCTGAGTCAATCTCTATAACTATATTGACCGGCGCGCCTGCTTCAATGTAATCCCGTTAACTAATCATGCTCAAGGGAGGCGGATCATCTAATCCATGGCAGCCGATGCGTTTTGACCGCGCATCCTACTCGGTATAATGTGGGTCAAGAGCCTTGTCATAATGTGAAAACACAAAATTCACATTACACTCAAACTGTGAAAAGAGTGATGAATCAGACATTAGCGATAATTTTGGGGTTAAGATTTGACTCCAGTTCAGATGCTAAAATTAAAAGCTCGCAAGATTACAATATGAACACTCGACGATATGAGAAAGGTTCCGCGCGTAGTGGAGATAATGTGCCCATCAAATTCTCAAAGAGAACCCTGTCTAGCCCCTTGAATCTCTTCTTTCTAAAGTATATGCTTTCTTTATTTCATCGTACATCACTCAAGCCAGTCGAGTCCAGCCCATCTTTGGCATTAGAAAAGGTTAGATAGTGTCAATCCGTGGTGATGCCCGTCCCAGAGAGTCATTGTGGAACGGCAGTGCCCTTCTATATCATCGGATTCACTGGGGACTGGGCATGAGACATATTGTAAAGACGTATCGTTGGTGTCGTGAGCACGTGGTATGCCTGGGAAGGGGCAACTTGAATGCGTGATGGAAGGCCGTAGTCGTCGAGGTCGACGGCATCCTGGCTAAGGTTCGCTGTCTCCCAGGGGCCGTAGTCGCCATTGATGGAGCGCTTATGGTCTGAACTCGAGATAGGGAGGTTCTGGCCGTGGTCAAAAACCGAGACACGATACGGGTTGATCATGTTTGCGGTTACGGGGGTGCTGAGCAGAGATTGGGAGGACAAAACTGTGCATTGGAGAGGGTCGGTGTAGTATGTTTGGTATTGTGGGTCGCTATGGATATTGAGGCCATCCTTAGAGACGTTTCTGGAAGAAGTGACGCCTTTGATGCGGGTATCCGATGGAGTAGGCTGCTCAACGGATGATTCAAGTTTTATTGAGTCTTTGTCCTCCCCTCCTTCACTCTTGGGAATGATCTCTCGATACGGGACAACGACAACCTTGCTGCCATCTAAAATAGCGTTAGTAATTAACTATCTGGACTTGAAGATTAGATTACGTACCAACTTTACCAGCCTCGAATTGCTCTTCCGTCTTTCTCAGCCGCAGGACGTCGTAGATGGACTTAACGCGGGATGGGTCCTTTAGGTTATGCTTAGTATCATCGACGGCCTTCCTAAGCTTATCTGCAGTAATTTGATAGGGAACAAGTTTGCAAATGATGTGCAGCAGTAGCTTGATGCGATCTATCAAAATTAGTATGAGAAGAAAATGGAAACAGGCAACAGAATACATACCCTCTTTTCCAAGGTAGTCAGGATGCTTGTGCATAACATCCGAGGGCCACCACGCTGGCTTGTTTTTTTCTGGGTCACCCTTAGCCCCGGGAGCAGATCCTGGTGGAGGCTTTCCTCCGTTGTAAGGGTGATGTCTTGGCTTGTTGGGTTCGATTAATTTGATGAATGATTTAGCGATCTCATTGCAGTTGTATTGTTGGAGGAACCTCAGGGCAGCTTCATAGTAGCTCAGGACCTTTTGAGTATCTTTCACTTCAATAGAAACCATGTCATTAGACGTAGGAGAGCGTTCAGATGCATCTTGGCGGCGACGACCCCGGCGAGAATTCCGGCGGCGAGGATTCCGGCGGCTAGGCTTGATGTTCACTCTCTCGCCAAGAATCTCAACGAAATTCTTGCGGACCTCCGGGGTGAAAAGGGTCGAATTTTGCTCTTTGATTGAAGAGGACTCATGAACCTCGACCTTGCCCTTATTGTCGATATAGATAATAGCGTAGTGGTCATAAGGCAAACGGACAGCGGATGGAGATGATGCCATCATGAGCTATTAACACGTAAAGTTAGTGAGGCTCAAAACAAATCATGATACTCTATCTTAACATACTGGAGTAAAATCGACAATTGAAACATTGGAAGCTCAAGCTTAGATTAAAGTATGTCCAATTTATAAGATTACCAGATGGAATGGTGATTCTTACAGAACTTTGTCTCCAGCCGGAACTGAAGACTTAACTTCTTATGCCTGAAATATGCACTAGGCCATATAGTCAGCCTGATGATCCCAATTTCAAATCTAATGCATCCAGTATGAAGCTAAAGAAGCCCTTGACAGCCTGTCAGTGCGTAACAGGCGGCGATCATTTCTGTGACCCGCCGGATAGCGATATTTGAAGAAAAGCAACCCGGGATCTGTTACCCAAGTCAAGCTACTTGGAAAAGAACCATCGGTCTATGGATTGTTGGAGGATTTTGGATATAGACTCACAGATTGATACAGTTGGGGAGCTATTCCAACGGACTGATGAGCAATGTGAGGGAGGACTGCAGAGCCAGACCCAAATTAATTTTTGGCAGCCGGTGGGTCAAATGCAGGAAGAAGCGAACGAGATAACTCCACTCGTGTGCTGTTCCGGGGCGAGGGTGGTACGAATGGTTGTAAGCTGGATGTATACAAAATTTCTTGTCGAGTTCACGGGATGAAGCTGTTGAAAATGGGTTGAGCGAATAAAGACTGGATAGGTTTTGGAAAAAGGATAGAAGTTTGAGAGGGATGAGCAGGGTTTCTTATTTATTCTCAAAAGATCAATTGGTAGCAAGCTAGGCTATTCCATTTTGATCTTGGAAGTACCTTTTTTTTGTCATTTTTTATTTTATATTTATACATTTTCTATTTCATGATTTATCTTGTTATTATTTTTTTGATTAAAAGGAAATAAAACCTGACTTCTCATGTCTCAAAAACCCCACCAAACTCTGCGCCACATCCACTTTGGCCGGCCCTTGATGGATATCAGATACCAAGGGATTCCCGCCACCTTTCAATTTTTTTTTGGAGATTTCATTTTCCTTGTCTGATCGCGCGATGGAGTACAAATTCGGAATAGCCTGCACTAGTCAAGGTTTTAGTACGTATTTTAGCGGAGATTGAATGTCCGATCTAGAGATTGATCAAAGAAGTTCAATTCAAAGTTCCCATGCCTCGGCTAGTGGCTGATAGCTCCAGTCATGGCTTGGCAGTCTTGCAGAACACTAATCCGAAGTGGTTTTTTTGCTTGAGGTCGCGCGAACCCGTAGGTTCCATTTTCGGCTAGGTCACACCTTCAGAAGCATGTCCTTTAATAAAGAAACACATGAGCTTTTATGATTGATAGTCTTTCTAGCCAGAAGACTTTTTGTGACGAAAATGGCTTCCTTCTGGCTTGAGTGCTTTATTTTATTTAGCCATGATCCGGTTTCATAGCATGACCACGTACATTTGTTGAGATTTATTATATACGAAGTACTTGAGTTCAACCGCAATACAAGTATTGCGATTGCATCTACACAATGAACGCTTATCTAGACAGCACTTTCATACTCATCCTTTTAACATTAGCTTTGTAAAGCTATTAAAAAGGATGAATTTTTAGAAATCCACCTGCCAAATCACCCCCGACATATCAGTCCCTTGAATTTCAAGCAATAGCCTGAAATGAAAGAAAGAAGCAGATATATATCATTCTCTCATTCCGCTACCTGTCTTACATCAACAAATGTCTTAGAGAGATCTAACAAGCTCGCTTTCCGACTGTGAACTTCAAAATCAGGGAACGTGAACTCAATTTCCCACTCCACAATTTCGTCTTCCACGTCACGCCAAGGAACCATTCTTTCCAAGACACATTCAACAGTTCCCGCTCCCTTTGCGGTGGAAATATCAATAGGTGAAATATCGGGCCAGACGAGAACTTTGTATTGAAGATGAAGAACAATAAAGGCAAGTAAAGCTTCATCTGACGTTTGATCACCAAGCTTAGAAAGAAATGATATTCCCGACCAAAGTTCACGGCCAAGAGCCGATTCTCGGGTTTGTTTTGGCGACATTTCCATCATCACAATATAGATTTCAATTGGCGAAAACCATAGGAATTTTGGGCGGAACTTATATTCGCATCTTGCCCGAAGAGAGTTCGATACTAAATGAAACTTCGAGCCATCGTCACTAGGCAGCAATACTTCTTGGACTTAGTATATAGTGCTCTAGCTTTACTATGAAATATAAAATCTTACCGTCCGGATGTTTCAGTAAACCTTTAAAGTGGTCTACCATATCGAAGGAAAAATTAATATCCATGATTTTTTCAGTGCTCGTGGTTTTTTCGTTGATAGCTTAGAATGATGGGGTGAGATTGGAGTAATAATTTATTGAAAAGACTAGGAGAAAACGGGGCTTATATTTATATATCTTAGAGCTCTAAAGTAAAAGGTGATATTGCTGCGAAAAACGTATCAGAAAAAGTCAGTAAATGATGACTGCCGGCAGTAATCAACAAAAGGTAGACTCGGGGATGCGCTAGGAGTTAGACTTCAAGCAGAGGACCTAAGGCGGATCTTCCCCGGTTATAATTCATGGGAGAAATTCGACGAAGAGGAGAGGCTTGTAAGGAAATCTAGGGAGGTCTAGACTGGGAAGTTGTATTTTCTTTCTAGATTGCCCAGAAAAGCCTAATGCTCTTCGGTATACCTAGTTCATAAATTTGAGTGGATGTGTTTCTCGGTATATAGAATTGAATTCTAGATATATAAGCTTTGGAATATGAAAATAGCCTGATATGTACCCTCTCTATAGTCAAAATCGTCACTTCAAATCTGGATATGGAGGAATCTCATTATAATTGTAATAAAAGATGATACCCGATTTAGCAACCCGTGGGTCATAATTGGCTTGACTAGAGATAGAATTGTCTAGACTGTTAATTTCTGTCCACGAGCCGATCTCAATGGACTTACCAATGCATTCTTCGAAAAGGACCTTTGGGGGAGCTTCAATTCCGTCTTTGGTGCCCCTTTTCTCATGGAAGTCTGAACGAAGGGGTATGGTGCGGTTATGTGAGGTGAAATGGACTTGGTGATAAGATTGAGGTTCAGGTTTCAGGGAATCTAAACGATCGTTTTCCGGGTAACGCAAGGATTTCTCCATAAAAAAAGCCTTTTGGTTGGTAGACGACGAAGAAAACCAGCGTGCATGTCGCAATGCTCGAAGGCTAGCAGAGAGGCAATCAAAGAGGCAATTCATCTCATCGAAAGATCAAGATTCATATAACTCTGTAAAGATTTTGCGAGGCAGTGCTAGAGAGGGCGAGGCGGAGGCTGATATGTTTATGAGGATAACATTGTGTCTAGTCCGCTAAACTAGTACTCGAGTTTCTAAATCAGACTTGGACCTACCCCGTACGCAACTGCAGTAATCTGGTTTCCGCGCTACTGTTAGCATAACCGTCCCTACCATTTCATGCTTTCTTAGAATGTGCTGAATCCTTATCAAAATGAGGAGGTGATTTAGATCCACATTATGGCCAGATGCTTGGCATGCTGTGATGGATGTACCTGACAAAATCTGCTTTGGGCAGTTGGCTTTGGCCCCACGCTGGGCACCCGAAATCACGGGACTCACCAATTGAAATACTAGGGAGGAGAATGTATGATCAAGAAAGGCCCATTGACAAATCGTACATAGCCCGCGAAGCCGATACAGAACGGACAGGACCGCTAGTTCCATATGTCGCCTCTAAATCAATGAAGGACTCTCAATTTGTTGATACGATGTTTTCTTCCACATGAAAATTCTGAAATCTAGGTTATGCGAACAACCAAACAAGGACAAAGCTTCTCCTTTGATGATTAGTTGTGGGCAGTGAACAGTGCATACATAGACTCAAAACGCTGTTTCTAAGACTCGAACGAGAAAATTAGATACAAATTGGTGATAGAGAATTCTTCAATATGTCACTTGGCCATATCCACGACTTTAGCTTGCGCGCGGGAATAAATTTTTTGCCCCAAAGCATCCCAAAGTCTAGCTCAATCTCATCGTATGACTTTCCTGTGACATATTAGCAATGACCAAGCTTAACACAAAAATATCTTCTTACACAAAGCACTCATTCCACATAGATCTCAAGTCGCTGGTAAAAATACCGCATCTGCAAGAAGGACCTCTGGCGTGATTTTTTTTAACCCGTCATAATTTTCCACAGTGCTCATATAGATGTCATCCCAACCGGAAAGCGTACATCTCTCCAGAGCTAGGAGCAGTTTTGGCCGAAGTTCGGGCTTGGCCGCGATTTGTTTCGCCAAAGACATACAGTCTTCGAGGTCTGTATCCTCAAAGGTTTGGGAGACCGATTCGAAATTTTCGAGCAATGCCTCCTCGACAAGTCTGAAAACATACTTTGCCTTTGCTGATGGGTCTCCAGGCAGCGTGGGCTCGTCATCTTTCTTGGGGTGAATCATCGTATAGGTCGTAACGTGGAAGTTTGAGGCAAGTCTGCCAGTGAAAGTACAGTCAAGTATACTTGACTTGAAAGAGAAAAGAAAATTGCCTGATACATGGGAAACTTTGGTCCCGCCGTCCTTTATATGACATCTTGCTGTGTCCCACAAATACACCAAAGGCGGACATATATCTATCTGAGCGGCAAACAAAAAACGACTAGGCTGTGGATCAGAAACTCTAGCGGTTGTCAGAGCTGCTACTACGGACTAGCGGGCATCCATTCTCGATCTTGAATACCCATTTCAGTGGGAACATTTGGCACTATCGGTACACTGGATCTGCGAAACGACTAGCTGGCGAAAGAAAGTGATGCGCAGTCTTCGTTACGTGTTACGTTAATTACGTCATCCCGCGATAATATCTAAATATAAGCATCCAGACATTTATCAGTAAACAGCGGTGAACTGCCGCAGCCGTCAAGAGACGGTAGATTCTTTTAGGTACTGCGGACCCTGTTAATGACAAATGACATTAACAGGATTAGGGGCACCTCACTACAGGTTCGGTTACTGCCGTGAGGTATTTGGTTACTAAACCTAATTAGGGGCATTCAGTTGGGTGCCCTCGATCTGGTTAGCGTTGTTGGCCCTGTAAGATTGGGGATAAGATAAGCCATCTCACCAGAACGAGCAACCCCGGTCCCCGGGTTGATTGCACGCCGTCTCCATTCGTTTGAAAGTTGAGAAGCCCGAGATATAACTTCGCAAGTCGATGGTGTAAGCTATGATGATTCCAGAGCCAGATGAATTTTATTTTTGCGAGGTAACATGGGATCCCTCGTTTCCTTAACAGGGGGCGCATGACTTTGTAAGGCAAAAACTGGCGGAAATACTTTGCCGTTCCCAAGGGGTTTGACGAGTTATAAGGTAAATTTGCACGCAAAGTGAATAGCGGTGTGATGATTCTTACGCACCCTTTGATAGGACTTACAGAAGCGCCCAGCACGGACCCATGGTCTGGACAAACCACTTGATTCACTTGACGCGCCCCTTGTAAGATTATCCTGGAGGGAGGGGGCCAGGATGACAACGTAGTCTCACTTGCTCCGCGATTTTTTCCTCTTGTCTATTCACAGCAATCATGGCACGCCAGATTCCATGTGAGGGTGACGACACTGCTTATATTCTGTTCCTTGAAGACTCTCTTCGCCAATCATCTCAACAGTCTACCTACATTGGAATATCATCGGCCCAGCGGACTGCAACGGAGTCCGTAATCAGGACGAGGTCTTTGAAATACCTTGTCGCCACACCCGTGAAAATCAAATTGCAAGGGAAACCGAAACCCATGACAGTAGCACACAACCCGCCCCGGAATATCTTAATCAGCAGCGACACCTACGCAAAGATTGTGGCGATGCCGCGGCTTTCGAGATCACCTCATACATTCCAGAAGGTTCCCCTGACCCAGAAGTAACCGACGGATCCAAACCGAGCCGGAGCAAAAAGGATGTACAGAAGACACTATCAAGATTCATCAGCTTCATGGACGGTCTGCCCAAATCGAAAATTTGGGAAAATTGGGTGTCGGCTATTGATAAAACTCGGCGAGGAAATTTCCTCAGGGCACTGGTACAAAATTGTGGCTCGAGTGCATCGAGCCTTGCCTCACTGGGAACAACGAAGGAGTTGGCAGACATGTCATCCACCTTGACAGATGTTTTTGTTTTATCTGAATACGCCAGCTTTATGGGTTCTTACGGTATTGTGAATCAACAGCTCACATGCTTTCTAAATATGGTTTTTGTTTCTCTTTGTGCAGTTGCATTGGAAAATAACGAGGACAAAGATGGCGTCTATGCGGTGATGCGGAAAGTCCTCGGATCGGATGCATCTTCAGAAAAGCTTGTCAAACTTGTTCGCGGCGCAAAATGGGCGACCGGTCTCGTATCGCTCTTGTTGAAGACACGGTGGGAATCTAGAAGCTGGGATATTCTTTGTGTCTGTATGGTGGCCCTGATCATCTTGTCTTGTCAAGCTAACTCTGCTTAGCCCAGCATCCCGTCAGCTTTTACGCCCGGCTAAGCGACTGTTCTGTGGATAAAAAAAGGAAATATTGGAGCAAATGGGAACTAATGTCCATGGTAGCTCCCTTTTGTCAGGATCCACAGACCTGCTGGCATCCTTTGCAATCCCTTTGATCGCAGAAAGGGTTTTCAAAAATTCCATATCGTGGGTAAATCACTTTTGCTTTACACTTCAACAACTGATTGTTGTCAGCCTAAACGCGATTTGCAAATTTCTCGGTTACGAATTATCCTCTGTCAGGTCTTATCAGCCCCTTTCCAGAAAAGCCTTGCATCATGGTCATACCAAGAAAAGGCTAGCATTTACGCCATGCGAGCCGTCGAAAAGGCACTGTCCGGATTATCCTTCATCACCAGCAAGTGAAGCTTCATCCAGGTTGAGAAATGGTTGGAGCCTAGCATGTGCAGATCACCAAGGCCAACGGGATCATTGTGAATTTTCTCGCGAGGTCAATATCACGACTGAAGACTCTGTTCCACCAGAAGGTGTGCCCGGCCAGCTATCCCGGATTTTGTTGGCAGTTTTTTATCAACTCATATTTTTCAGCTCAAGAAGATGATAATTCCGAATTGGAGACTCAATGCCAATCCCCGTCCCAGTCTCCTCGATGTGGCAACACTCCGACTACTGAAATTCTGCAGTCAGTAGATACAACTGGGCAATTGTCCCTCTTGGGCCCAGCGAATAGTTTTGCCGTATCAGAGGGGATAGCTAGTCAGCCATCCGCAGTGGCCTCCACCCTGAGTATAGCGGCACAATCTCCTGTAATAAAGGGTGCAATGTCAAGTTTCTGCCCTGGGTCAAAGGTGGGCGCGGCGACTATAACTTCCACAGGCCTGGAGACAGCTGGCCATACTTTTTGCCATATCGTTGTTGATCAGCCAGTCGAGCATTCGGCTTTGGCTGAGAGTGCCGAGGACCTGAGAGTCCGGTAGTGGAATTATCAAACAATTTCGCTGGCCAGGCAAACTTGGACTTTTTACCAGTGAATTCGTTCTACGATCCTACTTTCAATGCTCAACCGACCGATCCTACCTACGATGCTCGCTTCGATGCGCAATCCACAGGGCCTCTCTATGACCCTCGTTTCAATATACAATCAATGGACCCCCTCTATGACCCTTGTTTCAATATACAATCGACGGACCGTCTCTACGACCCTCATTTCAATATACAATTGATGAACCCTCTCTCCCACCTGCAGCCAGTCACAGACCTGAGAGTTACCGCCTCATCAGAGCATATTGACCGCCCATCTTACATGCAACAAAAAGAAGGTATAGATATTTTCCAGAAGAGCCGACTGACTATTGATTCGCAGTCATCCAACCGGTCTACAATTCGTAGTCCGTCTTCTCCATATGATTTTACATTCTTATTGAACAGCGCCCAGCTCAATCAGACACAGAATTGCTCAATATGATATCAGAAATATTTACGCATTTTGTTACCCCTTTAAATTGTGTATCATGGGTTGTGCACTTAATTGTTACTCTGCATGATTGCTCTAAAACACAAATGATCCACTGGGGATATCATACAAGGACTCGATTTCAAGGGCGAGCAATGAATATGACCACCGTGTCTGAACTCAACACAAGCAAGCACCTCTTCTCAGAGAAGGATTGAGTTGTTTCCCCAGAGACTCCTCCTGAGGGCAGCGGCCGTCGACGCGTGGATATTACCATAGAATATCTGGGTGGAGACAATAAATTTGCGGTGCTCGCCTTTCACGAAGCAAAACCATTGAACGCAGGGCCTCAAGATGTCGAAGAAGCCGAGCATCAAGCATTTGATGCTTGTATGAGGTATCTTGGAGAGCACCCTGACTTGCAATTTGTGTACGCGTTCACATCATTCGGAACGAAAGGTAGAGCATGGCAGTGCACTCGAGAGGACCATTACTTGTCGCCTCTATTCGGCTCCGAAGACTTAGCTGAATGTGGCCAGTACATCGAGGTACACTCCTCGGAAGCTCGGCTGATCAGACTAGCCATCCAAATGATGAGGGCGGTACCACCATCTGAATAGGGTATTGGAACTGCAGCGTGTTGATTTAATGGCTTTTAGTATTGAAGAAACTGAACCTTTTTTTCGCAAGCATGACATGTATTCGTGGGAATTCAGCTCCCTTATTCATCATATTGGTTATTTTATCACCAAGATGACTAAACCACCAAACAACATTGCCACTCCTTGGCAGCCTTTGCCATTCTCCTGCTTCTATATCAAGCCCAGGATCGTGTATGCGACTTTGGATGTTCTTTATGTAATCTCGTCCACCGATGGTACCCTTTTCAACGTACATAGGCATGCAGATCTCTTGACTTAGATCGTAATCCCAGCGAAATTGTCCGAGCGATTCGATATGCTCATCACTGAAAAACAGCAGCAGACCAGATATTGGTTGATGTGGCTGATCTTTATCCCTGCAGACCTGCATTTTGACAAGGCCGTCGAGTGAAGCTTTTGTCATATACCAAGTAGTTGCTATTGAGCCTCGGCCGGGGGGGACTGCCAGGGGTTCAAGACGACTTTCCATGGGCAGCAGGTCTAGGGCTCCGCCCAGATATGGGTGGCTGCAGGTAACTCCAAATTCTAAAATGTAATTGGAAGCTGGGTCAAGTCCGTCATGGAAGACACCCGAGATAGGGCCATCGCTATCTTTGATCAGAGGAAGGTACTCATATTGGTCGATAATGCAGGTTGGAAATTGAGGCCCGAATGTTATGGTTCTTCCTAAAGATGTTTGCAGCTTTTTCCGTTGAGTCATCGAAGCGCAATGAGAAAGGATAGGCTTACAACTAAGACGGGGTTGGAAGCCAGCCCACGACAAATTTTGAATTTCCGGATCCAGGCTGCTTTAATACATTCTTGTCGATTCAATGGAAAGTAGATCCACTGCTTGTAGCTCTTCCTGACGCGCCGATGCATCAGACTGACGAACGCCCTGAATGTTGTTGATGTACCCGAGAAGCCGTGGATACCGGCCATCTTAGCATTGGCGCAACAAACAAGAAGTCCTTTAACGCGGGCATCGAATCTTAAGTAGTCTAATCGGGGGTTTTTTCGGACGTTGTAAATGTTCCAGGAGTGGAATTTGGGCGGGAAGGGGGAGCTCCAAAGTCTGTTTGCTGAAGATGAACTATTTGAGATAAGCTGAATATCACGCACGAAAAGACCCTGGCCAAGTCAGTACTCGTTCAGCCACTGAAAATAGATTGTTCTTACATCAGAGTTCACTTTTATCTCTATGCTGTGAGCTTTCAGTTCGAGAATCTCGTACCATGGTGAGCCGTCGGTTTTTGGTTTTGAGTCATTGTCCACAAACTGTATTCGACGTAAGCCGACGGAGTCAAGCGACATCACAATCTTGCAAACTGTATCAGGTATTTTCATGTGGTATACACAGGAAGTGGAAGTCGCTTTTAGTGGCCTGCTGCTGAGCCGTGCCACGTAACTAATACCCCGGTAGCTTGTTCTCAGCGCCCATAGATTTTGTGTGAGCTTGAGCTGCATACAATGGGGTTTATGGCGACTCCTCAATTGTTCGATAAGCCGACGAGTCTCGCCTAGTACATTCAAATACCAGCATGGAGCAATGAGCTCAGAGATCATGACTCTTATCTCTATCGGCAACCGCGTAAATAGATCTTGTCTAAAACCTGATTGAGTGATTCTTTGTGCATATTCACTCGACAATCCTTCCAGGATCGACGCGATTTCTCCACGTTTCTTGTCTTGACATTCATCAAAGGGTCTCGTGGCATCAGCAAACTTTCCCAATTCTTCAAAAGTAGGTCTCCCCGATGGCTCATAAGTAATCACCAGAACATCATAACATGTTGTATGAAACCAAACCCGCGGATATGGTGAATGAGAGCAGCGCGAGCATGGACTTTGACACTCTGGAACTAAAAGTAGGTTTTGACTCAGGTCTGTAAACTAGATTAGACAAGCAAAGGGCGGGGGGAAGATGACGTACCAAGGATTTTCGCTCCAGTATGTGAAGCTTGTCTGCACAGCAAGCAAAAAGATTTTGTGACATGAATACTCTGTATACAGGCCATTTCTTGAAGGTCTTTATGAGTCAGGGTGATGTTGTGACTGACGCGCTCGACGGATGGCTCTCCCTTATAACATGATGGTCGGAGAATCGGAGGCCGCTGTGGGAACGGTGGTCACGTGTGGGACAGGGGATCCGATTCCGAACCGCTCCGCACGAGCTTTCGAACTGTTCGAAATTCGCGAATTTCGACGAATCGAATCGAAATCGAACTTTTCTTTTTGTTGAGTATCACGGCGGTCAAAGCTTGTGGTGGGATCATCGTGGGACATAAATAGATCAGGAGTCCCACCTCCAACTAGATAGACAACTGAAACAAAAAAACTCAATACAGTCACTGATTTCAACAGGTTATGAGCCCGGGTGGCTCAATCCCCGCGCATGCCACATGCGGTTAGGCAGCTGGACTTCACTATGCTGTCACCTACAGGCTACAGCTAAGCTTACCCTTCAAATGATGACTCCTTCATGTCAAAGATCTGACCATATCAATTCAATTGGATCGGTGAAGAAGTGTCGAAAGCAAGGGAATCACATCATCACCATTACTATCACAGATACCACATCGTTACGAGATGTAAAATCAAGGCACCTTGTGATTCGTCAAATTCATCAACACCAAGACGAAAGGGATTTCAACCTCTCATTCAGTATATCTCGATGCAACCTTGATGCAACAGCATTCACCAGAAAAGCAAATCCGACAATGTCGCTTTCTGCAGCGGAGTCAAGAATTGCTTCCTCGCGATTGCGACACACTGTACAACACGTCCCAATCCTTTTCCTTGATTCCACCGCAGCTCTCGTAGCCTCAGGCATTTTATCAATACGTGTGTGACCGTCTCTTGCGCGCCGCGTTCACAACGATCATCGTCGCAGAAACCGAACTTCGCCGCGTAAGTGGATAAGCAGTTGTGGCCCGTGCGTAGCTGTGTCAGCAGCTCCTGGGCAAATTACCGTAGAGCTTTCTGTGGAAACATAGTGGTTACAGTACGGACTAGTACGGGCATAGCCAATTGAGTACTTGAGAGTGTGAATAGTGAAATACTATGGAAGATGAAGAATAAACAAGGCGTTGAGCTAAGTAAGACCATTGGGAGCCTTAAGATCATCAGGCATATGAGAGTGCTGGGTATTTCCCGGGCGCGCTTGTAAAATTGCGACCCTCGTTTGTCGACACATTGGGAAGAGAAATAAAATATAATGGATTTCACTTCATCAAGGGGCAAATAGCACATAAATCGTGATGGCATCCAGGACACGTCTGCTCCACTGGACAAGGACCACAATAGCAGTGACACTTAAATGTTAGTGCACTTCAAAATACGGTGGGGTGGCTGTCTTACACAGAGATATTTCAATCCAGACTTCGAAATTTTGCATTCGACACACTTCTGATGATGGCATTCCTGACACGTCTCTCTCTCTGCATTGTTGTATGATTTACATTTTTCAGAACACTTTACGTTCATCAGTAATTGGTGTAACGAAAGCAGTCACTTTGCACTTACACAGTACCATCACTTTCCTAATTGGAGTATGTCGCTTATACACATTAGTATCGAGAAAGTCCGGTCAAAGTGGTATCAGTTAGAGATCAGATAGGGAGCGATTGCGTTGAGAGAGGTGAAAGTCTAAATGGATGAGACGGGCAGCCTTGTCAGGATGCAAGGTGATGTGTCGGTAAAGGTAAAGGATCTTACTAGCGTTATTTGTTTATTCAACATTCACTGCTTCCTGATTCCCAAGGCATCAACTGCTGAATCAGCACAGAGCCCCTCTATCTTGCTATCAGAATCATAAAGAAATACACACCTCAAGTACTGTGCAATGGCTTCATTGGCTTATTCTAGTGCTAGTACGCTCTACATCTCTCGGAACCGATAGTTGATGTATTTCACAGGCGAGCAGGTTACCCAAGCCAGCAGGTCACCCCAAAACATGTAACGTGGTCCCCGGCCGCCCGAGCGTCCCGGTCGCGCGAGCGATGTATATATAAAGGGTGGTTGGGGCGAAGACCTAGATATGTGGTTAGTAAAGTGGTGAAGCTAGATGTTCTACATACATATATCTCTCCCATCAATATGGTAGTTTAACCACTTCAAAAATTACTACCCTATATTATACCCAACTACCCTAAATATAAGGCAATCTAGGGTAATATAGTAGAATAAGCTTATATTAACATATATTACATAGAATTACAATAGGTATAGGAGAATATAGGAGGAAAGGTGGTTGCCATACATATACAGACCAGAACAGACTGTAATTAAAAAAAAGTCTTGGCAAAATCAGGCAAAATCAGGCATCAATATAGGAAAAATGGGCCCATGGGCCCCCATATGGGGGCATATATTTTTTGGGTTGGGCCGGGCCCTAGAATTTGAAAAACGGGGGCCCATTGCCGAAGACTAATTAACATAGATATCTCGCAGCATGCTTACATCACTCATCTCCCCCAGGCAATGGATAGCCGTCGCTTTCAAACGCTTTGTTGGCAGACTGCAACAACTCAGCGATTTCAAGCCCAAGCCACTGTGGAACAAGCGACTTTCTGCTTTCTTCTTCTTCCACGGATTTTCCTCCGGCGACCTATATAAGCATCAGCATATATTGAAGACCTAAGAGGAGAATGTGTCAGACACAGTACCAGATAGCATTTACCAGTCTCGTCTCGTGTACAGGCGAGCGCAATGGCCGTTGCAACACTGTCCAGTGTATTTTGTTTGAGACCGGACTTTTTCCATTTCTCGCCCAGTGCTTTGAAAGTAGGAGTCGGCGTGAAGGATGGAGCAACGGCATTGATGCTGATCCCTAGCTCTCGACCGACCTCTTGTGCTCCTCGAAGAAGACCGGTGATTCCGTGTTTAGATGCGATGTAAGCCCCAACCCCTGTGGACCCAAAGTATCCTGATGTGGATGTCACTAGGATCGCAGTTCCCCTCCGACCGCTCGTAGAAGTAAGTTGATTATGTTGCATGTGGTATAGTGCAAGTCTTAAGGCTTTGAGACAGAGATAGCATGAATTAGTAAGAGAAAGAAATAATTTCAGACGTAAATGGAGCCAAAAATCACGTACTGTTAACGGTTCTCTTGAGATTGACATCAATTACGCGAAACCCTTCCGCTGACTCGCGCAAATCCCCCTGCTCGTCAACGTTACCCATATCAAAAAGCTTCTGGCTCTCCATTATCCCAGCATTAGCTACGACAATGTCAGCTTTGCCAAACCGCTGTATGCATTGAGCAAAGAGTAGCTTCATTTCTTCCCAAACGAGAATGTTGACACCCACAAAGAATGCAGATTTAGGGTGTTGTAATGATTGAATCAATGCTTCAGCATCAGGACGAGTGCATTCCAAATCGGCAATCAGGGTATTCGCTCCTTGTGAGTTGAGCAGACGTATAGTCTCCGACCCAATGCCATTTGACCCTCCCGTCACGATAGCAGTCTTTCCTGAGAGATTTCTCAATGCGAAGAATTCGGCATCTTCATTGGCACCCATCATGTTGCTTCGTCCATGGATACCTCATTGAGAGCTACTATTAAATGGTATGTTAAACTATCTCAGTTTATATGGAGCTTTTAGCCCCCGAGGACAGATAACCAATTATCAAGCTTCAATGTTGCGTGAGGTCATCTCGGTGTTTTACGCGGCATATTCTCGGCATATTCGGAGAAGGCAATCGGACATCTGCCCAACGGCGTGCCGGACATGCGTGCTTACATAGATTTAAAGTTCTTGAAGAGATATTATACACAAACCACCAGAAAGCAGCATGGTGCTAAGCATGGCATGAAACTTTTTGGAGATAAAAATAGTATGGATGGATCATTTCATTTACCCTGATCCCTGGCAAAGTTGAGACACTGGACTGAGGTATATGTGTGATGATTCTTCTATATGGAAAGATTCAGCTATTTGTAGTTGCAGCAGCTCATCTTCCTGCTGCCTAACAGAGTGCAGGCAGCCATCCTGTAGATCTATATACATCAGGTGACCTAGCATCCGATTGGCAAAGCGATAAGCAGGCTACAGCAAGTGCATAGGTCCGATGCTCCGAGTCTGAGTCTCTCTAAGCTCGGCCTTTTCGGGTGGAGGATTGCGAAATTCTCGGAATAGCGGGCAATTTGGCCTTACCGCCTAAGTACAGGGAACTAAGTATATAAATGATGCTGGCATTGGAGAGCTCCGCAGTAAAATATAGATTTCGTGTCTCTCTAAATCCGAAGGCAAACTTATACTCTCGAAATGTCGTGTCCCTCAGAGCTATCAATTGGTCGAGTTACACTCGATAATTCCCCGCCAGAACAACTCGAACTTGAAAAACCAGCCACGACATTCCCAGAGGGCGGTACCCGAGCTTGGATGGTGGTTTTGGGGGCGTTTTGCGTGTCTTTTGCAACGTTCGGATACATGAACGCTTTTGGGTAAGCTCTAGACTCCGCGACTTTATATACGAAACCCTAACAGACGAACGCAGAGTCTACCAAGATTACTATACCGAGCACTTTCTCTCTAGCGAAACTTCTTCCAATATTTCTTGGATTGGATCCGTGCAGGTTTGCTTTCTCTTCTCCGGTAGTATTGTCGGTGGGCCATTGTTTGACCGATACGGCGCTTCGGTAAGGACTTGAAAGTCTTCCTGGTCACCACGATCACTCACTGATTATATCTTCCCAGGTCATCCATGTTCCCGCCATAGCTATGGTACTGTCAGTGATGATGACGTCCCTCTGCAAAGAGTACTATCAATTCATGCTTGCCCAGGGAATCATGGGCGGGATTGCCTCCGGCATGTTATTTGCCCCTGTCATGACATGCGTTAGCCACTATTTTCATCAAAGGCGCAGCGCAGCACTCGGTGTTACCGTCTCTGGGTCTTCTATCGGCGGAATCATATTTCCCATTGCTTTGAGCAAAATGCTAAAGAATGAATCTGTAGGATTCGGATGGTCTGTTCGAATTGTCGGGTTCATCATCTTGTTCATGGTCTTGATAGCGATGGTCACTATCAGAGAGCGGCTTCCTCCTCGTCGTGGCAAGATATTTTTGGCAGCAGCTTTTACTCGTGCTCCTTACGTTCTCGTCACACTCGGTATCTTTTTCATGATGTGGGGACTTTTCACTCCCTTTTTCTATCTTCCGCAATATGCGCAGTCTCATGGCATGGGTTCACAGAACTCGACTTACCTTTTGTCAATACTCAATGCTGGCTCGGTTTTTGGCAGAATATTGCCAGGCATTGTTGCAGACAAGATTGGTCGCTTCAATATCTTGGTTATCAACAGTGTCTGCGCCGGGATTCTACTTCTGTGCTGGATTGCAGCAACTTCAAATAGCTCTATTATTGCCTTTGCGGTAATCTATGGTTTTTTTTCGGGGGGAATAGCGTCACTAATGTCTCCTTGCATTGCCCAAGTGACCCCAAGTCCGGATCAGATTGGGACCCATCTCGGCATGTCAATGGCCATTATTGGCCTAGCTGGCCTTACTGGGACACCAATATGCGGTGCTCTGCTAAGGGCATACGGAACGTACACACAAGCTGCAGTATTTAGCGGTGTGGTGATGTTGTTCGGAACCGTTCTCGTGGCCGTGGCGAGATTGCATCTACAGGCCAAGCTCTTGGAAATTGTGTGATCATATCCTGGCCTTATTGGCTAGTTTGTATTTCAAACCTGCATTCTTTATAGGATCTGCTTAATTCACCGCCACTGAAGCTAGACCTCCGAGGTGACACTATTTAATGAGCCAAGAAGGCTTCAGCAAGGCCAACTATTTATGAAAAAGGGCGTAGTCAATACTGTCGTCCAGGAAATATAAGCTATCCGGGAACTATTCCATATTCGTTAGTAGATGTCACAACGTTGAAACTATACAAAAAAATACGTACCGTTGTACTGAGCAGTTCCGTTGAGGCATCGGGAATTATAGAACTTGCATCCTCTGGTAAGTTGAGCCCGCGCACACTTTCATGGTCCCTACAGCCAGTCAATACGGGCTTGGGTAACGACATTCACTATAAAACTCACTCCGGACCAAATGTAAATTGATCTGGTAGATTGAAAGCCTGTCGTGTCTGAAGTACTGTGCATATTCGGACCACTCTGTCTGCTGCCTCTTTGTCGGATGTGACACAAGACTCTGGCCACAGCTTGCACTTGACCAAACCAATTATCATACTTAGTATGTAATATTCATCTAATCCGTGACATGTCAGTTTGACCCTCTCTTCCAATATCTGTAGTGCTTGCTCAACAGTGGCCATGAGAAATGTTGAAACTGGGGAAAATATAGCCAAAGTAGTTGATTGATCTGACGCTTTCGAACAGTTAGTAAGAGTTGTTTCATTCATGCACACAAACTTTACGCATACAAAATTATAAGCGGAAAACTGGAACTATGCTCTTACATACCATGGGCTTTAAAGCTGATGTAGAGTTCATGACAGATATTCAGTGCAGCAAGTATCAATCCCGTCCTGCAAGCTTGTTCCGGTACAATTTCATCTTGAACAAGCTTTTGGTGGCGGTCAACAATATTCAACGATGCATCCAACCTTTCACGTCGGCAAATCAAGGATTTGAATGAGGGCGGAGCTTGGATTGCAAATTGGATATGCAACAAGATCTTATACTGGTGCAAATAAATGTTTAATGATCTCTTCACGTAAATCTTTGTCTGTTGTCGTCGTGGGTCGTCTCGAAGGTTGTTCCATTCCGGAATATCCTGGAGAGCTTCTCCGAGCTCCTCTTCAAGGCGCAAAACTCGGTCAAAATCATCTTGTTCGCGACAGCCATTGACGAAGGCACATATTCTCAATCTGACAGACAAAGAACGATACATAATAGCCTGAAAAGTAGTGTGCGTCAATGTAGCAAGCGGCAAACCTTCTAGAGAGTGTTGACTCGATTCCTGGAAGGTTTCGTCATCGATATTCAGCGGCGGTAATATGTTGAAATCTTCGACTCCGACACTTGGGGGCATTCCTCGTTCTACGGAGGCTTGGATATCGAGTTCAACAATCGTCATCCAAAGGCGGCGACGAATCTCCCGATGGTATAGTGATAACCTCGCTGTCGAGGGATATTCACGATGATACCCTGCCGCCATAGCCCACCGGACCAGCGCCCCAGTATACGTCCAGAAGGACTTTTCTTGTATGTAGTTCGCACGCTTTGCGATGAGCAGAAGGCAATGAGTCGCTATGGCTTCGCAGGATTGAGGAGGATGATGGGTCAAAGAATTGAGCCATGACTCTGCAACCTCGATCCATTCACGTGCGTGGTCATGGACAGCTTTATGATTCATAATCTCGATGCATATTCCAGGGTGAAAGCTTGCAGCAGCTGCCGCCACCAGCAGGATTTGCACCAAAAAGGAAGTGGGTGTACGAAGTGAACTAGTCCAGTGGCGATTGTAATCAGCATTGAAAGCCGATATATTGAGCACTCGGTGTGTTATCTCAAATCGGTCGATATAAGTTTGGACCAATGTGTCCATGACCGGCTTCACGGGAATTATTTGTCTCAAGGTGTCTTCAAGCACAGTATCCTGCGCCAGCGGACGAAGCCGATATTTGTCATTGTTCAGAGAATATAGCTGATCACGGAGCGCGTTGATCGCCGAGTTTTTGGTCTTGATTCCAACAATGTAAGATCGAAGCTCAGTAAACTATCACTAGTTAGAGGATGGTCTATCTATGTTAGACGGAATTGTGTGGCGCACCTGTTGATAAAAGTTCAAAGGATAGCTATACCCATAGAAGTTTGTAGCAGTCTCTTGTACTTTCAAATGTGTAACTTTACCCTTCCATTCAGAAGAAGCTAAAGGTCCTTCTGGAGTCTCCAACAACGAGACAGGTGTGCGCAAGGACATTGTCATGACACCAGCATTCCTTGAATGGTCATCACTAAGTACTTCACCCACAGACGATGATTCTCCTTGGTTGCTACGGTAGGTGCACCGTTCGGAGTTTCCTGTCTTTGAGCAGCGACTGCATGATGGAAGCTCTCTTCCACATTTGAGCTTACGCTGGTAGCATTGGATACAGGCCAATGGGGGACGACGCTTCTTGGCATTTGTCTTGACAATACGCTGTGAGCTAATTGGCCGACTCATTTGGTTCGAGAACGCTTCTGATACTGGGGAAATGTTCATCGAAATCGCCGACCCGAAGCTTTTATGCCGATTATAATGACGCGGCAAATTCGGGGACGGCAAATTCGGGAATCGGCGATTATTAAGGCCGAAGGCTTGGCTGGCCGCGATGGTTCGTCCAATCAGACTCCCCTAAATGACATTAGTCGCATACCGCGGACTACGGGGGATTATCGATAACGTAGGTCCTGGACAAATCAGAGGGTAAGTGCCGATGGAGACTCATATACGGATACACCATATAAAGACCACTACGCATCCGAAATATGGTTCAATCATCTACGCTATATGCTATCTTGAAAACTACGCAAACACCAAAAAGAGCTTCTATGAACCTTTCACTATGGAACTTCCTGAAGCTGACCCATTGACGGTATCCGTTCTCTCCTCATGTGAAACAGCCTGCCCAGAGTTCGAGAAATTCTGACGAAATTGATACGATATCTTCACGCATTCTGTCGCGATGTTAATCTCACCACAGAGGAGCTTTACATTGCCATTAATGCTTTGAACCGATCCGGTCAGATGAGCAATTCCGAGCGCAATGAGACGTTGTTGATTTCAGACTGCTTGGGAGTGGAGGCGTATGTCCTAGACATCATTTATTTTGCATCTCTTATTATGATCTAACTCTATCCAGACTCGTCGACGCTCAGACACAAATTACTTTGGAAGGAGATAACATCACCAACTCTTGCATTCTTGGCACATTCTATACGGACAATCCTCCGCGTTATGAGAATGGGGACAGCATTATCCAGAAGTATCTTGGGGGAGAAGTGACATTCTTCCACGGTCGAGTCTTAGATGTCGATACCGATTTGCCCGTCGCAGGTACGTTTGATTCGGAAACCTGTCGGTGAAGTTTGCTGAGCAAAAACAAAAACGTAGGGGCTTCTCTGAATGTGTGGGAGTGCGCGGTCAACGGGTTATACGACCAACAAAGACCGAGATCAGCCGCCGGGGAACATGCGGGGTATGTTCACGTCCGATGAGGACGGAAGATACGCATTCTATTGCATCAAGCCCGTTCCATATCCAGTGCCCTACGATGGACCCGCGGGCGATATTCTCAGACTGATGGACCGCCGCCCTTACCGAGCGGGACACATTCACTTTATGTTGACATGCCATTCTTATCATCGCTTGATTACGCAAGTTTTTCCAGATGATGACACTTATCTCAACTCTGATTCGGTGTATGCGGTCAAGTCGGATTTGCTTCTTCAATTCAAGCCATATAATCCCCCCACACTCCGAGGCAAGGGGGCTAATGAAGCACATGTGAAATGGGAAGTTAATTGGGATTTCAAGATCAAGCCGCACAAAATGTGATGGAAATATAGCCGTCAATTTCCTGGAAATGATTTCTAGGGCAGTGACGTTACATATTGCTTTAACAGGGAATGCACATCCCGCCCCACAACTTTGTTTTAGATCCGAGTACAGTCTTTGTATGTGTGTGAATGTAATTCATTTACCTTGACCCCTCGTCGAAGTTGATTATAAACCTCACCCACTAACTAGGCTGAGAACGGATTCGTTTTTGGTCTAGTTGGGTAAACCAACTGTCGAAACGATGTGCAGGCTACAACTACTGCGTAAATACATGCTTTCGTATTTCAGGATGATTGCTCCAAGCCTCCTGAGCGGCGAACTTTGAGCTTCACCTGGTAAAGCCTATCGTGGCCTTCCGCGGCTCGAGATGTTAGGCTGCCCTTGCGGCGCAGCTATAATGAGTTCCCCGATAAGACTGCCAACAGTTGTCCGCGGCGGGCTGCATCTCGGCTAGGAGGTGCGAGAATGCTGGCAAAGCTGAGATCAAAAATTTCGTTAGAGCCTGTGTGGCGGTTGCGTTTTTGTTCCAAGCTCGAGCTTCAGCTCGATCAGCTGAGCTTTTGCTCGTTCTCTTGTCGAGTTTGAATGGTATTGGTTTGTTGTCGTAACAGCGACAAAGGTCTTCGATTGAGGGTGTACATGTAGGAAAATATGCGGTTTGCTAGGTCTTGGAAGTCAATTGCGGTAGAGGAAGTTTGAAGCGTGGGAGGACAGAGGCATAGGTAGGCCGTGAGTCTGGTGTGGAGGTAGTGGTTGAGGAGGAAATTCAGGTATCGCAGAGGACTTTTCGGCTGCTGGATCGATTCTCGAGAGGTTCATCTGGCCGGAAAGATGCTGGCACGGTTTAGGTGGTCAATAAGGTGACGGAGATGTGGTGCTTTTGTTGGGGGGCCAGTGTCAGGGTGTCTTAAAGACAGGCTTCAGATCGCGACAGATGATCTGCTATATAAAGTCTGTTGAATGTAGCTTCTGCATCTGCTCGATGGGGTTATTCTGGAGTGTGTACAAGGGCCTGGTCTCCGCGGGCAAAACAACACGCTGATCCGCCAGATCCTTGGGAGGTCTTGCAATATCAGCAATTCTGGGCCAGTTAATGAGAAGTGACGCCAATAAGCACGTGCTTATGGAGCGATAGAGCTTTAGCTGCGTTGGTAGAGTAGGTGGTCGGAATTTGAAGGTGGTTCGCTGTTGGGACGTTTGGTAGTTCAGTGGGGTAGAGCGGCGGGGTTGACGGATTTGAGGAGTGAAGAAGGACGGCGTAACCTTGGAAAAATGAGACCTGGGGCTTGGCTTTCCAGCCTCCTCTGGCGCTGGATGCTGCAAGCTTATCTCTCCCTTCTCCCTTGGAAGGGATGCAGGATCTTCATATGCTACGGAGGGGTAGAAGCCGTTTTTCGCTATCGACTGCAAAACACATATTTCAAGATCCAATATTGAAAGATATAATTTCAAATTTTATTGTCGATGTCAACAAATTCCAGCGAGCCCCAAGGCCCCAATCCTAGTCATTCAACTGGTCTAATTCGAAGATTCAGCCCGCAGCTTGCAAATACCAGATAAAAGCACATGTTTCATTTTCTAGTTGGGCAAACGAAGTTGAAGAAGATTGAATGTTTTACGCCAAGATATCTTCGCTCCCTAGTAGGGTTTCAGGGCCCCTGTTCCCTCCATAAGGCGGACGGCTAAGTATTTTGACACTTTCTTGAAGTAGACTAAACAGGTCCTGGCTTGCTAATAGACAGGAAGTAAACGAAAGGCTAAAAGCCTAGACATCCAGAAGCAACAGCTTTGAGTGAGAATTAGTCCCTATACAGAACTTCTCGCTCCATGCTGTCCAGCAACTTTCCATCCGCGAACCAAACATCCATTGCCTTGGCCATCCCTTCCACGTACGCTCGAGGAGCTTCATTCGACATAGCCTTGACAAGGAGATCTTGCGACATTTCGTTTGTCACATCAGCCCTTCCACATGCTATCACTTTGACTGAGCGTCGTGAACCGTTGCATGAGCGTGCGTAAATAGTTGAGTCTGCTCTGATAAATAGTTGAGCCGGGCCTGGTAAATAGTTGAACTGTTCTCATCAACAGTTGAATGAGCGTGTGTAGACAGTTGAGTCTGCTCTGGTAAACAGTTGAGCCGGCTGTCTAAACGGTTAAACGGCTTCCTCAACAGTTGACCGGCTTTCCAAACACACCGGCTTTCTAACAGTTGAAATGCTATGCAAACAGTTGAATGAGCGTTGGTAAACAATCGAGCACGACTTCATGAACAGTGACCAGCTTGAAATGGTGACCAGCTTGAAACCGTGACCAGCCTGGAAAATAGTGGCCAGCACAGAAGACAATTTGTCGATGATGACGGTGCCGATGCGTCGATGGGCAAACAAGCTGAGTCTGTAGTTGTCAAACTGGGTGAGGCGCTCAGGCGGTGTATCTTCCCTCGCGCACGCTCCGCCGACTTGGAGGAAGATCCCGCCCACAGCACTGTATTTCTCTCATAGGCCAACAGTGGTTGTCAAGTCCTCCCGGACAAGTAACAGAGTTTTGACATACGGTCGATAATTATATTCCATACGGAAAGCTACATCACGTCAAAAATCCCAGTAATCTACACCAAGAATCCACTCGGCTCAAACTTCCCGATATATATACCACATGTGTACAGTATATGACACCTCCAATGAACGAACAACATTTTTTTAGCACTACATATACTACTGTATGACATCTAAATCGCATGCGTGACTGGGATTTCTAGCGGTCTCACAAAAATATGACCAATAAGTCTACACCAGTCTCCTCTGATTACGACTGCGACACATCATGAGACAATTGGGATCAAGTTGATTCAAAGTCGACCACGTATGATACAAACATGAAACTGATGCTCAGCAGCCTGACCGTTGAGTCCCACATCACTGCGCGTGAGCCCTAGATCCGATGAAATGACACTATTCACATCCTTTGTGTACGTCTACGTTGCGAGCTTCCCCTGTCCCACACACTGACAAGGCTACCATCCCGGACATCGAACAAGTCGGTCTACTGCATGTGTCTCACAAACAGCAGTCATCAGTCTACGAAAAGGATACATCATCGAGTGTTATCAGGGAATTACGCAGGCGGAAGAAGCGTGCAGGACGAAAGCATAATGAGCCCTGCATCACCGGCCTAGACTTTGCCCAGCATGACGAGCACTCGTCTTAGGACTAGATGAAAGCATTTGAGAATGCCACGAAAGAGCCTTGCAGTCTTGCTTCGTGAGTCAGCAGCTCACGCGTGATTCGAAGCCTTGTGGGAGCAATGCATCGCAAGACATCAGCTACACAGCGACGCAAAGCTGCCCATCGGGATGAAAGACATAGCTACATAATTAGATGCTCAAGACTGCGATGTGGACGCGTGCCGTCATGATGCAACGTAGAGACGGCGAGCTCGCATCTCACACCACATCACTGTAGCGCAACTCCCACTGTTGTACCTGAATGACAGGCAACGGAGCTAGATATCAAGCACCAATGCGCAAGACCCCTTCTTTGTTCTGCCATGGCAGTTCGACGGGTAGCCTTACACAATGATAGCTTCCTCTTCATAGATCCCCACACCTAGCACCGTGAAATCCTGGGCGAAATTGATACCACCGAGGACCAAATTCTCTGAACCTTTCGATTCGCCAATAAAATGGGCATGGATTTTTGGAAGCTCAAATCGACTTCTCTTCAGCAGAATTGGGGCCGTAGCACGTGTCACGTGACAAAGCCGTTTGAAGGACACAACAAGCATTTCGAGACCTCCAATCACTTTGAATAGCTCGAGCAGAACCGCAATTTGACCGATACTGCGAGGGACGGCGCAATTTGAGTGCATCTGAGACCTCCCAGACCTCAGAACGACTGATAAGATCAGGACGGAAGGCTTCTGAAGGGCTTGGGTTGAGCCAAAGTTGCCGAGCTCGGAGACTGCACTGCATAGCTGGGCAAATGTGGCTTCATCTCACCCACCAATGGACATGTCGCTCCACCGACAAAAGATCAAGTACCAGCGGGCGCAATGTCATACGTGCAGCTTGATAGTCACGTCCAATCAGCCCATGAAGAGAGTACACCCATCAAGATTCTCATTGCATGAGATGAATCCCTGTGTTGAACCTTTACTCAAGTTTCGAGTATCGTCTTCTCTCGACCGGACCGAGGACATGGTGACGGCATCTGCTTGCATGTCACCGCAAATGCCGACTGGATCAGCCTGGAATGCATATTCGCTCGACTACTGCAGTGTACGTAGATCGGTAATAGTCGGTCGCGCAGCAGGGAGGCAGGGTCGCCAAGAATGATAAACATTCGCAAGCTGAGCTGCTTGTCGAGCAAGAATGTCGAATGGTGTCGGCACTCGCACCCTCATGGATGGAAATCAGCCTGATGTCTCCAAAGCGAGAGAGGTTGGACTGGCGTTCCCGTCCACAGTCTGACGCGACGACAAAGGCGGTGAGGCCGTCCCAGACGCGCGGTGCAGTGTTGTTTACGCGACGTCCGGCGGAGTTGGTCTTCACATGACAGTGGCCGTTTGAAATAAGTCAGTCGACATCGGATCTCACCGCTTGTAACACCCGGCTTTACCTTATGTCTGATCCTCTGATGAAGTCCGGTAGATATTACAGACCACGCAGTTGCTCTGCCGGTGTCCAAGTTTCGACTCAATCAATGCTCGCTCTAGTCAATCTTTCAAGATCGCGCTGGGCCTCTCTCTCTTTCTCTTAGGTGATATCAGAGCTGTAGCCGACAAGAAAGGCTATGAAGCATACCTCGAGCAGAGGTATCTTCCCCCTAGTCCTAGTCGAACCACTTCCACGAGCCGAATCCCACATATCAATACCCACGAGCCCACTCCCACGAGCCGCTTTTCACGTACCGATGCCCACAAGCTAACTTCCACAAGCCGATTCCCACAAATCGATGCCCACGAGCCAACTCCCACAAGCCAACTCCCACAAGCCAACT